CAAACTTTCCCGTATCGTGTATCCCGTCGTCGCTAATTTATTATCGGCCCGACTGTACTTTCAATTTTTATCTTATCATTATCATCGTAGTATTTCAAAGCATATCAAAAAAAGGCGCAAATATTTATATCTAATTATTGGTTAGCCGTAGACATCGCGTAGACTTTCGTTACGATAATTCGATCTTAAAGTATTTCTTGTTTAATAAGTAACAATGCATGATTATTGAGTCCTAAAGTACTTATTTTAATTTTTATTGATGTAATAACAATTAATCTAGTAATTAATTTTAAGTTTTTATACAGTTTATAAAAAAAATAAAACATATAAATTCTTATTCCGGTCTCACGAATACAGTACATACCTTATTTCAATGTAAAATGCGCCTCTGATTTTAGTCCAAATGTAAACACGTCGAAAGTTATTGAAACCTCAAATCAGTCACTTAACAGCATTCACAGAAGCACAATCGAAATCCAGTTCACGGAACACAGTGAGCTTTCGTCAGTGAATCTTCGGCGTATGTTAATTACGATCGTGCGCGAGTTCGAGAGAGGAGCGAGAGACACGCGCTCCGCTTGCAAGTCAAGGGTGCACTGGCGATCTACGACTCGACGCTTTTCTAAATATACACCCCGCGAAGCTTTCCGCGCACCCTAGAAGCGCAACGCGTGTACCGTGCAATTTTCTATAAATTTTCCTACAAGCCCCAAAGCCACGCTGTCAAAATCTGTTTTCAGTAAGAGCGCTTTCAGTGCATCCGCCCTAATTCGATTACCTTCTGCTAATTCGGCATTCATTAAACGTTTTCAAATTATTAACGGCGCTTTTGTAAATTTTATTTGTCGTTGATTACGAGAAATTCACGCGTGCGAGTTGCTTTGCGTTGTATTGAAATGCATAATTTAACTAATTGAAAGCGGACGCTTTATTCATATGGGATAAATTATTATTTTAATTTGGAGTTACAGGCTTTTATCAAATTTGATTTAACTAGATGATTACAATTATGCGCATTGATTGTAATATATATAAGCAGAAAATATTTCGACCTCCGTCCGTAGTTTAATATTATTTTGACTCATATTTGGAATTCATTTGATAGTTTTTTTTATAGAAGAGGACAGACAAGCTTGAAGTTCATTTGTTGGTAGGTGCGCCGTCGACCTATTTTGGCATTGGATATTAGCATATAAATCCATAGACTGAAACCGAAACGCGATTGAACTTCACAGCTTTTTCGTCAGTTGATGGTAGATTATATACCCGGGAGAAATCAATATCTATCACGCATTTATTAACCAGATTTCCAAACAAAGTCCAACGTGTTTCAGATAAGTTTATCAAATTTTAGAATAAATGGCAGGTTGGTATATAGTCAGAGAAACATATATAATGTCGTATACACACATACACATAGTCTTGACTTATGTATGAAATTCACACAGATTAACAATTGGGGCAAGATTTATTGTACTTATAATTTTACGAAATTATTTATTTAACTTTACATTGTAACTAACACTCTAAAGCTATTCACTTATTTTTAGACTATCATATTTCATAATTTTAAAGAGTATTGCACACCAGATTTTCAGCACAATAAATTATGTACATAAGCAGAAGCAAGCAAGCGACCCACTAAAACGGATGCAGATAATATGTCTGTGTGCTAGCAAGCATTTCGTACTTAAGATTTAAGCTACTAAAGCTATTTTCCTTTTTATAAATCCAAAAAACAATAATTCTAAATTATTTATTATACTATAACTTTTGATATTTGTAAAGATGTAGACTTATACTTTTATCCTAGTTTATTTACCGTAACCATGAATAACAAACTTCAAAATAAGAATGAAACGAAAATTAAACTCCCCGAATAGAAAAAGTAACATCATAATCCTCAGAAATATTCCGAGGCGTTTTCTTTTGATAGTAATAAAATATCAGGGCGTGTATAACGATAATACATTTCAAGGAAAGGGGCAGTTAGACTCACGTGAAATATTGCCCATTTTGAAGTGAACAAAAGCGATACCTTTTTTGCGGGGCACCCAGCAGTGCTACTTGCAACTAGATAGAGTCCTCACACCTTTTGACGTCTACATCTGTCCCCGTCTCGTCAAAAACATCCGTTCTTCCTTTGTAGGCTTATAATAAGTTATGGGCGTTGTCTTTTGTAAACGTCCTTTTACGAAATGTAACCTACACGTGTGTTAAATAGTTGTCTATCGTTAAAGTTTAAATTTACTCATTCAAAAATACAATTCCTATTGCTGGTGTTTTCACAAGGCTTGCATTTGGTTGCGCTGAAAGAACACATTTTTTATTTCATTCTCCGTCGATCTTACGACATCATAGTTCAGCCTGTCTTACCATGCAAATCTAAGCAACTATCTAAACCACAGCTGGACGCTGATCTCCTCAACGTTTTAAGAGCTTAGACCCACCACACTGATACCACCTGAAAACCGGTTACAGGGACAGCGCTTAAAATACTCTTCGAGGCATAAAGTGTTAATTATTGTTACGGCTTATTAATATGTGACAAGTTCTTTTGTTGTTATCATTAAGATAAAATATACAAAATAGTTAGGAATACACACAGTGTACATTAAATAGGAATTTATAACTACTATTGTCACTTACAATTATTGTCTCTAGGTTAAGCCGAATTATGCACGTTTAACTGGAAGTTTTAAATTGGAATTATTTATATTAACTTCAGGTTGTAGATAAAATAAGTCAAGTAATATATTTTGCGTTACAGACAGTATGTTTTTTGCCTTAATTAAAATTTGTTTATTTTGTATTTTTTATTGAACATCACTCAATCTGTGATTGTTTGTGTTAAATAAACAAATAAATATCTGAAAAACTAACATGCGTCTTTCAAAATTATAAAATTATATAATTTTGAAAAACTTTTTATATCAAAATTATAAATTGATTTGGGGCAAACAAACAACAACGTGAAAAACTGTGTCATCTATTGCTTACAACTTAACCAATAACATAATTGCGTAATTACAGCCTGTTTTATGATTGTGTTTCTTTCAACGCTAACTAGATGTCGCTTTGGCAAATGAAGGTCAAACTTAATAATAAACTAATGTAAAGTTTACTGAACGAATAATCACCTTCTCACCGTCTACTATAATCATCGACATTGTGTCACTAAAAGGCTGAAAATATAGTTTTTTTTTTATATAATGTCAATTGCTTGTGAGTTTTTATGCATGCATGTTAACCAGAAATTTTCGAAAATCTAAATATTTATAGACTAAAATCTTAATACTTTTAGACTCTATCAAACTTTATACCAGCGCTAAGCTATTTTGAATTTAAAAAATAAGATTTAATTATATTATATCAATACTATCTTTAGTTTTTTAGTAAGTCTTTGTCAAGTCAGTAGTAACCATAATGAGCGTGAATTTTAACAATTGACACCACTAATAAGGTATCGTCAAAAATTTCTTCCCATTGCAGAGAGTTCAACGACAGCCTTTGTTTCAATTTAAATGACTAAGCCAGTTTTAGTCTAATGAACCAATTTTGTAGTTTACACAGTAGACATGCTAATTATTGAAACCTTTAGGTAAACTACTGTCTTTGCCTTTAATATTATTTTCCTTCCCAAAGACACTTTGACCGATTCAAGTTACAAAGCGCCAAGTTATAAATATGTATACTTATATAACAATAAACCGCATATAACACTGATGTGTCTTATATCGAAAAGTATCACATACATTCATTCAAACTGTACCGTCTGTGCATTACAAATATGTATATGTATACTGTTCATCTTACAATAATTATTATATTTTTAATGTTAACATTTTTCACACAGCTACAGTGACGTTTCTGTTATAATATTTATATGTCCAATTATGTATAATCGTATATAGGCCTTCCAAATGTATTTGCACCTTCGTCGAACAAGGTCGAGTAACATGACTCGGTTGAAATCAATCAGACGTCTTGAAGCGACACCTGGATTTAGAAGTGGTTTCAGTGTTATGTCTGTGAGCAATTTTAATGTTTAATTTAAGATTAATCGTACTTACTAACTTTAATTATCAAATAAAATATTAATCGGTATTGTAATTGACTTATTGTAAGATTTCAATAAAACACTTTATCGGTTTAAAACGCGATTTTTAACTTCGGCCCGACGTTTCGGATGCTTTGCAGCAGCAGCACGGGTAGACTGAGGGGTAAAAATATTTTTCAAATAAGTTTAACTAAGTAATATATCGCGTTTTAAACCGTTAAAGGGTTTTATTTAAATGTGTACTACTCGCGTAAACCATAAACAGTATATTGTAAGATACTAAAACTAATATTTTCTACCTACATTCCATTAAAAAATACCCCAAAGTAGACGTATTTCAAGATAATTTTAATTTCTTAAGAAATATATTTTATAATAATTGTAAATGCTAAATGTAACTATACCGTAACGTATAACCGTTAAATAAATAAAATTATAGCTTTTAAGACGTAAGAAATTTGTATCATTTGTAATAATATGTTGTTTGTTTGTAATTTGACGTAGCTATCTAAACTATTTTCAAATGTCTCTCTAAAAATGCAAGAAATACATAAAAAGCAGCTTAAAAATATTAAATTAAAAATGTTGAAGAGTAAGAAAACTCCCGAGAAATATTCTGTTATTCCATTACCGCAACTAATAAGAAAAAACTAATTTAAAAAATCTAAATTGGATTAATAAGTGACTTGCAGTTTCGCCATTGTGGTCCGATCGACCCATTCGAAACTCAAAATGTAATTCATTAATTCCGCTGATTGCAATGAAAGGGCGATAATTTATCGTAATCTATTAATTCTTAACACAGACAAGTGGCGCTTATCACCGTTCTTGCTATCGCGCACATTGTACGGCTAAGTGTTAGGCTTCTTGTCCAGTTACCGATACCCAGCGGTTGGGGTGACTGGTGACGAGTGTTTTGACTATGAAAAATAATTGAGACATGGTAAGTGACAATTAGACGATTCTCATATATATTTTAACATATTCTTATCCTTTTTATGTTTTCTTTTCGCGATAATTTAATAAGAATTAAACTTGTTTTATCTTTTAAATCCGATCATTGATAATACACTTCAATACAAATTATACAACGTACAAACCGTTTTTTAACTTTTATTAATGTCTTATCCATTAAAATGCGTATGCGTCCAAATGTGTTTTGAAGGTGATTTTCTTCATCCTGTGCAAACAATACAATATGAAAAAAAAAACAATACAGTAAAGAACTTAGTGCAGTGTCTTAGTTATAAGAAATACTAATGTACGATTAGTATTAACTACCATCCTCATTCCTTACAAGCATTCCTGTAGATAAAATTATAATATTATCAGTTATATTATCCAAGGTAGGAAAACAAATCGTTCAAGTACTCCTTATCTTTCTAATGAATCATCTATACTATATTCGTTATTATTGTTTATTGGTTTAGGTAAATACCCCTGAAACATTCTAAAATTAATCTTTTCTCATTCGTGTCTCACATACGAACATGTGCGAGCATGTTGAGTTGTGTGATAGAGAAGGTCAGACAAAACAAGATAGGATTCACTTGATGAAAGGAGAAATTCTCCAGCTATATGTTAAACAAATCGTACTCTCGAACTATTTTGGCTGTCAACATTTAGAAATCCACAGACCGAAATCGAAACAGATTTAAATTTTTAAAAAGGCTTTTGCATCTGTGAACGTTTCGTTCTGTTTTGTGTTCGCGACCCGTGAGGAATTTGAAATAGGTATTTTTTTAACATACCTTTTTTTCTTTTATTAAGATTTGATACTGACGCATCCCACAGTAGGCATATGTCGGTCAAGGGTAATAACACAGCCAATAATAATAAACTTTTTACTGGCATTAGTATTTTCTATAAAAAATACTTTAATTATATGTCTGTATGATTGGCAGACATTAGTCAATTAAAAGCATATACTTAACATAAATTTCATAGTAGCAGTATTTTATAATTACTAGATTTTGAAATAAAATACTATAACGCTTTTTAACGCGAAAAATTAGTTAACTTATTTATAATTTATTTTAACTACGGTGTTTGTTAATCTTAACGTAAACTACAGACAATATTTAATCACTACATTAGCTATATTAAAAAGGGATATGAATGTGGATAAAACTTTAATATAAATTATTAATAAATATAAAGTAATATAATGAAATATAGTCACGGTGCATTCGTGAAGTCAATTACGTTTTTACGAACACGGGAAGCTATCTTCAACGATCAAATCAATCAGCAATTCCATATTAATTAAAGAAGCTACTATCTACATTAGTCATCATGGTATTAGATTTGTATCTGCCAATACATCATAATTGGGGCAATCTGAAAGTAAAAATATTTATAACGTATTACCTCGTTTTAAATTGAAAATCTATGAATAAACTATTAATAAAAGTATACGACTCAGACGGGGCTCGAACCCGAAACAGCCTCTGTTACTGAGCTTACGAGTAATTAATTAAATATTTAATATCTATTACTTTAGGTTCTAAATGTATTGAAGTTGATAAGTGATAAGTTACTGATATTAATGAATTATTGTTTATTTACTTAAGTTGTTATACTTTATTACAAGACAAACAAGTACAAGGTTTTATTGATGGAAGCTATATACATATAATAAAATGCGCCGTCGACCTATTTCCATAAACTGAAATCGAACCGCGATTAAATTTTACAGCTTTTTCGTGTATGAACAGTAGGTCGTGGCCCGCATGGGATTTCCATATTCCTACCACCCACTTAATATATGAAGATGAAGTTTTTGATGCTAGAATTGGTAAGGATCGAACCCTCAACGCGTTGATTAAAAAGATACTACCATTAGACCATCAAACACATTTTCACAGCAAAAATCAAAGATTTACAATATCCATTTTTGAATTCGGTGATTATGAAGAGCGAACATCCGGCTATATCTTTAACAAGAACAATATGATTACAGCAGGATGACACACTATCACGGACTACCGGCTCTGTGGTCCTGCAAGTGGGAGCTCTGGAGTTATTGGCGAGATATTCCATGAACTCCGGCAGAGCCACGAGCATGCTCTCGTCTATTCACGAGTTCAGAAGTCAGGAAGTGGAGCAGGCGGGCGGGAATCAGTGGAATTGGAAATATTTACGAGTAAGAAACTTAATCCCAACTAATTTAGCCTCTGGTCTTCTATAAACGCCTTATGTCGCGTAAGTTCGTTGTTGTAGAAAGCAAAATAAAAATTAATGGCCTAAAAGGATCTGAGAATTACTTACTATAATATAACTCGTTTATGTTATTTATGTTTATTTGGCAAAAGGTATAATTTAGAGATAACGTCCAACTTTTATGTTAACAATCTATACCGCCTGAACTGATGTCAAATTGTGTGTTTTGCAGTAACATTTCATTAATATAAATCTCGACTAATATTTCTAAGGGAAGGTAAAAAATTAACTAATAATATGTAGATTAGAAAACTATTAAGATTGGAATAAAATAACGAAACAAGTGGGACTTGTATCGGGATCTACATCGTTCCTTGCTCTAACCAATAATTGTAGACTCGGTAGCTCAATAGATTGGAGTAGATTTTCATTAATTCAATATAACGCCATCATGTTCAATAACATGTGAAAAATTTTAAAGTTTTCAACGATTACCTTAGTAAAATAAAGCTAGCTTAATATCAAAAGGGTTATGTTTCCCGTAAGAGTAAGTATCAAGATTTGAACTTGTTGATCGAAGAATTTGGTCTTGACTTCACTATCATGTTCAAATGTTGTGCGTTCTTCGACCATGAGAAGACGATACAGAACTACGACTTTATTAAAGTTTATAGTTACTCCATGACGGATTGAAAATATTATTTGACATACATTTTTGTTTGATCAGGACCAGTTTTACCAGAAAGATTTGGAGGGCTTATACAGAAAGTACGACAACAAGTTAAGAGAAACCCTCATCTATATATATGTGTCTCTGCTCGTGTTTTTTTCGACTATTCATATAATTGCTGTGATTGCAAGTACTTATTCTAAGGTGAGTATATAAAGCAAGTTTTTCTTTACTCTGATACCGCGCACCAAACATTATTGTGGCTACGTCATACCCACTTATCTGTACAATACACTCAAATAAAACACTTTTAACTGTTTCATAAAGGGTCACTTTATGAAACAGTTAAAAGTGACGACTCCTGAAAAGCATCCGAAATGTAATTGCTATCAATATATAAATAATTGTATTTGTTATGTTGATATGATAAATAAATGAAAAAAAAATGAACTAATAGATTTCGGGTTTTATATCATAAAGGTTTTTCATTTAAATGTGTTTTACTCGCGTTAACTACAGACCGTGCACATTACATTACAGACTAATTATGTGTTTTATATGACAGCCTAGTCTGAATATACATATAAGTACAGACAATGACCAATTAAGTAAACAAATGTCTGTATTCGTTGTAAACGGTTGCAATAAGAAGAACATTTTATATGCGTTTTTGTTGACATGAAGGTTTGCACGAGTACTAGACGTATATTACGTGTTAAAACAGAGACTACAGTCACACGGGTAGGATTCGAACCCACAGCATTCCGAATCGTGGTTGCACCAATACCGGTGTCGTGGATTTCATTCAATATGATTTATGACGTTTATTTACGCAAGAAAGATTTAATAAGTAAATATATATATATAATAGTTACTTAATTATAACACGTTATATTTGGTCATATATAAGAAGCAGAATATCTATGCAGTATTTATGACCGGGCAAGATCATTTTAATACACGCTATCATGTGTTCATTGGTAGTTGATGCTTATATATTTCTTTGAACTTAACCATACGGTAAACTGTAATCTCGACTTCATAAAAAATGAATTCCTTTTTTTTTTCGTTGCCCCCCCCCCTTGCCCAGAATCCTTTCCCCCCCAAAAAAAGTTTTTTTTTTTTTCCCCCCCCCCCCCCCCCCCCCCCCCCCCCCCCCCCCCCCCCGGGGCCCCCCCCCCCCCCCCCCGTCGGTGAAATTATATTGCACGCAGTATCATTCTCGCTCGGCCAAATGTCAAATAAAGAAGGGTTTTTTAAAAAAAACTTTTTTTTTTTCCCCCACAATACACCTAAAAAAAAATCAGAAACATTATTAATAACAACACAACCCATGTAAACATCAATTGTAACTGTAGGTCATCCCTGTGACCTACACACGCATTCAAACACACATCGTCATCCATAAAGCTACTATACTAGGATAACTGGACCGGTGTCCGAACAAGCCATGGACAACCTCACAGCATCCGATAACACTAGGATAACTAGGTCAGTGTCCGAACACGTCATGGACAACCTCCTTCAAGCATCCGACAACACATGGATAAATTGGTCAGTGTCCGAACAAGTCCTGGACAACCTCCTTCCAGTATACGACAACACATGGATAGCCGTGCCGGTGTCCGAACAAGCCTTGGACAACCATTCCGACATCCGACAGTATAATTTATCTCTAATTCACAACTTTAACGAGAGCTAGTTGATGACACAGCAAAGCGTTGGTCCAGGCATCCATTGTGGTACAAATATCCAGCGGTCGCATCGATATTGCACAGGTCGACCCGCTTCTCTGTACTGGAAGCACCGCTGCTACCGTTGCTTCCGCCCTTTGCTCTTCCGCTTCGGGCAGCTGGATGCGTAGTGTCCTTGCAGTGAAAAGCTGCTTAAAATTTTCCCAAGTCGTCTCATCAGTAAGCACGTACGTCCACATCACGTCGGTCTGGATCAAAATCAGGAAAGCAGAGTTCGTTCAGCGTTCGCGACTGCTTCACGACTTATTTATTTGCAGCACGTGGGGCGTTCAGGCTACATCCCGCTTCTGATGTCGGAGTTACGTTGTCTTCTTGGTCACTCTTTGTCGGAATCAGCAGGATTCCGGGTAAGAAATAATAATAGTCAGTTCCTTGGCAGGTGACTTATGACGATCCAACGGTAACTGAACCTCGACTCAACAAATGCGCTCCTTTTTATTATCGTTGCCCCCTCCCGTTGCCTAGACTCTGTACACGTCAAAGTGACGTTTGTGTTGTTGACGTCCCGTACGCATGACCCGGATGCGACATATATAATAGTTACTTAATTATAACACGTTATATTGCATATATAAGAAGCATAATATCTATGCTATTTATGACCGCAAGATCATTTTTATACACGCTATCATGTGTTCATTGTAGTTTATGCTTATATATTTCTTTGAACTTAAGAAATAAGGATAAACTAGCTATCCCCAAATATAGGCTTCATAAAAGAATGAATTCATTTGCGGTGAAATTATATTCGTATGTTTTGACGTTGCCAGTTTAGGTTGCACATTTATCAAAAAATAAGTTTTAAAGTCATAAAGTTTAAATTGTCTCAAAAGGCGTATTTGAACTATTTCCTTAATGACAAGGCTGCCTGGCAGTGATATGAATTGCTCCTTAGGTTAATTAATTCACAACAATGTGTTAGTTTATAAGATATATGTATTTGAAAAAGTTGGACTGAGTTTCTTGAGTGTTCTTCTCGGTCATGTTGCTCTTTGGAACACTGTAGAATCACGACAGATAGACAGATAAAATATTTTTGACGAATCTAAATATGTGTTGAAATTTTAAAGAGAATGAAGTATTTTTTATTTTTTTAATAATTATGAGTAAATTTTCAATTTCGTTTATCTATACATTTAAGTATGTGACAGAGTAATTATAGATTCACTTACGAATTATTAACCAACTGAAAATAAAAATTAAAGGTTGCTCTTAATTTCAGAGTCTCGAGTGGAAACCCACTTATCTATCAGTAGGGATGTATTTCATTCGGATAGGAATACCGTTGATATTATTCTGGAAGTATATTTACATTCCTTTGAAAGAACGCTGGTGTTTGATGCCGTTGGCTACGACTGTTATACTAACAGTAGACTTATTTTGTTCAGGTAAGACTGCGTAATGTTAACAATGGCGGCGAATACTCAACGGGTCGTGGCTTCCATCCCCGCCGGGTCCACCTTTTTCTAATAAATTTAAAAATTTCCTAAAACATGTTGGGCTTTGTGGATCTGGATATGATGGTGGGAATATCAAAATTTCGTCGGTCACGGGTCACAATCGACTGATGAAGAAGCCGTGAAGCTTAATCGCGTTTCAGTTTGTGGATTTTTTAATATCCAAAGCCAAAATAAGTCAACAGCGCCACTTGTTTAGATGTTATTTGGATGGAGTATTTAATCGTCCACGTCTACGTCTGCGTGTGTGTCCTCCTCTATCGTATTTCCTCAAAAGCGAGGCGAGTTTAGGCGGATTTTTGTACCCTGCCCGACTGAAGCAATTTATTGTTTTCCTTGGACTCGAACTCATGCCCGTCCTGGCAATAAACACGTGCAACCATTACTGCAGAAGAGTAAAATATGTAGAATTCAGTAAATACCTTGCATTTAAAGTCAGCAAGGTCCAAACAAACTCACACAATGAAACCTTTCAGATGTCACCGTCTCCATAGTGACCGTGTCTGACGAAACCTACCTTCGACCTGCATATGCTACCATGGCCCTTCTATCCGTGTACATTTTTCTGCCAATCAGGAACAACTTCATAGCGATCATTATCGGCGTAATCGTTAGCGCCGCTTACATTTTCGTTATCGCTTTCGTTACTTATTACAACAATCCACAAAGTGAGGTGATGGTAAGTTTACGCAATTTTTATTTTATATGTACTTTATGTTCAGCATATTATTATCATATACACCCTAGAGGAATACGAGCTGAGATAAACTAAACTTGTGGCTTATTTCAAAATTTGCGACTTTATGGCCATAAACACTTTTCACTTGGTGTTAGTCAGATATGATATTTTTAGTATCTCCTAGGGGTAACGTAACATATGGAAATAAATAAATCCAAACTATGTGAATTGGAAGAAAGAAAGCTAGAAATGTCTAAACTAATTATAAAGCTAAAGATATTGTTTCTTTGTTTAAACGCGTCAATCCCAGGAACTACTGGTTCGACATTAAAAAATATGTTTGTTTTGGGTATACCATTTATCGTAAAAGGGTTTAGGGTATATAACTAATAGGAGCGAGCAGTGGAAAATGTGGAAAATTTCGGGAAAAACATATTTGAAGGCTTCCATTGAGTGCGCTACGAAAATGGTTCAGAATCCATTATATTAGAGTGATCTTCTCTCTCTCCTCTTTAAATGATCTAAACAAATGTGCCTTACAGTATTTTCCTATCTTTCGGGTATAACAAGTATTTTTTTGTTATAATAATAATTGTATAATTAGTTGTACCAACGTAGGTATATTGAAACATTTTATTTGCTTTATTTGTTTTACAAAATTAAGGTGGGTTTAAATCACAAAGATAATATACTTTAAAGCCATAATCATCTCATCAATCAATTTATCTCTTATATATTATATGTATTATAAAACTAAGACACGTGAGTGATACGAGAAGCAATCAGTTTTGATTATATTTTAAAAATAAACAAAACAAAGAATTTTGCTAATTGAATTGTTTTCGGATTAACTGTAAGATACAAGTTTTTAATTTTTTTTTTGCCTTTATCACATATTGGAATTGTTTGTTTTCAATGATGTTCCAACAACAAACCTTAGTTGTTCTCCCCTAAATCTAGCCCAGGATATTTCGATTATATGATCCGTCATAGTACAATTAAATATATTTAACTGAATATATATAATAGCATTCCAATAATTCCGATTAAATAAATCCTAAATAGTAAAGTGAATTGACGTGTCGGTGTCAGCCTGCACATTTCTGAACGTTCAAATGCAAAATAGGTCGACAGCATATTTATGGGGCTGTAAAGAAATCAACGAGTTGTAAGGCAATGTAATGAAAACTTTAGTTTTTTCAGGTGGCCTCAGACATTATATACCTTATTGGAGTGAATCTGATGGGCGTTTATTTTAGGCTTATGAACGAAATTGTAACCAGACGGTCGTTTCTAGATAGACGAGCTTGTGTCGAAAGCACTTTGCGTTTGAAATTTGTGAAGGATCAGGAGGTAAGTTATTGCATTCAATATACTTTAAACAAAAAAAAAATAAATTTGCTTAAAACATTTGTATTATAGCTTTGAATATGCAAGGATGTGATTGATCAGACTCTGGTATTATTTTTTTATGAAATTTGGATAATTCAAACCCACCTTTAGTCAAAAAGCTATGATTTAATCCTTTCTTGGGTGATATTTATATTTTTTAGGAAAGGTTAATGTTAAGTATTCTACCGGAACACATAATGTCTAAAGTGAGACACGACATACGAAATATGTTTATGAACATTCGATCGCACAGTCTGTGTCATAATATGAGATCGTTTAGGTAAGTTAACGAGAGAAATAAATAATGTATATGATAGATATTATTAATACTACCATAAGTTAAAGCGATATTGTATTTAAAATTTGTAATTCGATATTTTGAGGTTAACCGCTAAGTGCAATATTATATCTGCCCTCGAAAGTTATAAAATATATGGCTTGTATGTAACTATTGTCCCAAAGCTAAAGTCAGTTAATTTAATATTCTCTTGTATCTAATATTATTTTGTTTTGATCTATATGAACCAATACGAAACCATAACCAAATAGATAATAGATTATTAATTACTTATTAAATTTATTTATTTATTATGATTTAAATATTTTTTTAGCCAACTCTACGTAGAAGAACATGACAATGTAACAATTCTATACGCAGACGTTGTCAATTACACAAAAATTTCCACCACATTATCGCCCTTGCGAATGGTAGAGCTACTGAACGAGTTATTTGGAAGATTCGACGAAGCGTCCGAAGTAAGTGACAAGTTCTTCCGACAAAAAATGTCATGGGTCTTATGCTTCGCTTTTAATAAAAAAAAGTAAATTTTTAATTTGAAATTTTTTTCTTTTTCATTTTAAATAAAAAACTTTAAAAGTTTAAAACGCGAAATATATTATCATAAGGGTAACTAATATGTTTCGCGTTTTAAACCGTTTAAATATGTACTACTCACGTAAACTACAGACAGTACTTTAAATACTTTTAAATGAAGAGGATAACTAGACTGATAAAGATTTAGGCTTTAGATTATTTAGACTTATTAATTCAAAAATAATAATATTTATCAGGAACACGACGTTCTACGAATCAAGTTTTTGGGAGACTGCTATTATTGCGTCAGTGGTATACCGAAGCCGACTGATCAGCACGCGAAGAACTGCGTCGACCTAGGCCTAGAGATGATTCACATAATTAAGGATGTCAGGTTAGCTTAATTCAAGGTTAATTTACCATTGCAATCAATGTCATTCTATGAATTCTAATCTAATCCCTAGCTTATAAGTAGATCCACGTAAACCAAAACTTCCTCTTTTTATTTCCAGAGAGAAACGGTCATTAAACATCGACATGAGAATCGGAGTTCACTCGGGCAAGATACTGTGTGGACTCATTGGCATCCGCAAATGGCAGTTCGACATCTGGTCCAAAGATGTCACTATTGCCAACAAAATGGAGTCAACAGGGAAATCTGGGTAATAAAGCTGCTTTCAGACTCCACTTCAATAAAATCGTAATAATACATCTAGCGCAACATATTTCACTGTATTATAACGTAGTATAAAATAACCAACAGCCTAACTTAACACTTTTATATAAAATAGAAAAATGCAACGCTTTTAACTGTTCAATACGAGACAATAATTTAAATTTATATTTTAACTATGATCTGACGTTTCGAATGCTTTGGAGCAACCGTGGTCTGAAGGTGGATAACAGGAACTATTATTTGATAACCAGCTAAGTACTAATTACGAGATGGTACTGGCGTAGCAGATTTGATTTTGACATTAGAGAAACCATAACGTCTGTCATAACTGCTGCAAACAATGCGACACGTCGGGTCGTAGTTAAAATAAAAAATATAACTAACATATTAAGCGTTTAAAAGTGTTAAAAAAGGCAAAAGTGTTTTTTTAATAAGTATTCTCGTGGAAACTATAGCCAATACTTAGATTACATGATAATATAATTCGAAGAATGCCTTTCTTGAGGGTCTTTAGGTTCTTTAAGGTATAACTAGTAATCGTACAGTATTATTTACCACAAAGGTTGTTTAAATACTTCATGTTTAAAATGCTAGTGAACGAAATTGCTAGCTCTATGCACACAATTTAAATATGGGAACGCGACGTAAACATAGATTGATTATCTGAATGGATCAGACGAACGAACTTGATTTGTAGCGAGTTTCACAGTAATTGAATAAATAAATCTATTTTTTAGAACCCACAGTACAATCTGAATTGCAGCGCAGTATTTTAAAGCCGGGAGCGTTTAAACACAACTGACGTAAAAGCGAATTTTAAAACCCCGAATAAATCTTTTAATTCGTTCGTTTATTTTAGGAAAGTGCATATTACGAAGCAAACCCTGGAATTGCTGTTAGACTACGCGAGGGAGTACATCATCGAACCTAACTTTGAATCTCAGAACGATCCGTTTGTTACCAATAATAAGTTAGAAACGTATTTAATCACTAGACCGTCCAGGGTAAGTCCAAACATTTTTATATACTTTCGTGTAAAGTGTATTTTCCCGTTTTCCCTTCTGGGGCATGCATTCCTGTATTCATAATAAATATCACTTTTATTTACAGACAAGTAGTTGATCAGATTTCTGTGCTGTGGGTGATCAAGACAATTTGTATAATACAATGCTAGGCAACATTTTTAAACACTGACACACACAGACTTCTTTCTTTTTTAACGATCGATTTTTTTCTATTCTTTTGTAATTTAAATCTTTCGCGTTCAAATATATTCTCGTTATAATGATATGATAACAGTTTATAACTTTTCAGCCTCTCACCGATTATAAGCCTTTCAGAAGAGCGTCCGTCGGCCTCAATAAGATCATTAACCCCCGATCGAGAAATAGAGTAAGTTATCTCAAAATATGTATTATAATTTGCAAATAAGTTATTTTTTGTTTATACTGTTTTAAACTCGCTGCAATTACGTACCAGTATCTCATAACTTTCCATTTTTATCCTTAATATTTCTAGTAGCGATCGGAACATAGAAATTCATCAAACTACCGTAGAACCACTGCGTTCATGGATGAGAATTTGGTCGAATATCAACAAATGTTAAAAGCTGCCGATGCTCAGATGGCAAAGGAAATTGAAGACATGACAAGTGGAAAGTAAGAGAAACTCAGGCACATTTTCGTACCTTAGACATTAATTCTTTACTTGTCTTGTCCACAGAATTCAAAGTGATTTTTATTTTCAGGAAGCACTTTAAACAAGAGTCCAAACTAAATAGATTTACATTGATGTACAAGAGTAAACAACTGGAAAAGTCGTACCTTTTGTTACCAGATCCACTTTTCAAATACTACATAACGTGCAGTCTCGTTATTTTGCTATTAATTATAATTGTAAATATTTTGAGTACGAAATGGTAAGAATTATTTGTCTTTTCGAAAACTTTTGGTGTTGTAGAAGTTTGTAGTATGTTTGTTGTTAGTTGAAGTTTGTTTTTCTATCATTAATCATTGTAAACAATTTTTTAATATTGTTTCTAGTTTTCGCTTATGGTATAAATAAAACATATTTAACAGTTAAAAACTACTTATATAATTATAAATACCTTTAAAGTTAGTTAAAATTAAAAACTCACGTAAACTATACAGTATTTAACTTAAAAAATTAAAAGTGCCAACTGGAGAACAATACTTTTAAAAATTGTAAATTTTTAAAACTTTTAATTTATTCGTTAAACTAAGTTAGAGTTTTATTAATTTCCTCGTAAATATGTTATAAAAACGTCGTATGACATACGTGCGCTTTAAAAATTACAGCCTCTGCTTTCGGCTCGGGCTAGTAATATCGCCTCGGCTGTAATTTTCAACTTACCGCATTTATATCATAATGTACTATAGTACATTATGTATACTATAATATAGAACGTATATTTTTAACATTTTAATGTAGTTATTAAATAGCCTAGTGTGGTTTTACAGATTTTCTATTTTTTTTTTGGTTTTAGGTCGGGAGTGTTTCAGTGGTACGTTTGGATTCCATTTGGAGTATTAACGTTAATTTTAATCGTCCTGCAACCACTCACTTGGTTTCAATTCGTTTGGACGAAGTACAAGGGAGTTAATGAGCCGAGGCATCGATTTCTCCGAGGCATTTACGATATATCGCTACTAATCATAAAGGACACGAAGATACGGACAATTATTTATGTCTTGATAAGTATAGTTCTGGCAGCCACTTCTATTCTGAATGTCATCGGGTGTAATGTTCCTGAGGACACTGCTGCCGACATTTTATCGTTATGCGTTTCGTCGTGGGTAATCTCCTTTTTCATTGGCCTGTAATACTTATATCAAACTTTTATTATCTGTGAACATTGTTTACAGCACGTCACACAAAGCTGGAGCTTAGCGCTTCTTCTGAATTTCCTCTTCAGCCGCGTTTTCTTCATATTCAAATGGATTGTAGCCGCTGTGATGACTACATTTTATCTGTGGGTCATATGGGAGATGAAATCTGCCTTTTTCTCTGCCGGATTGACGTGGAACGTCGGTTTGGATCCGCGTATATCGCAAACGCTCTCAGTAATATTTATAACTTTTACACTGTACTGGATAGACAGGACTACTGAGTACAGGCATCGTCTTGATCACTTATGGCAAATACAGCTGACCGAGGAACAGGAAGAAGCTGAGACGATGTTAAAAGTGAACAACATGCTCTTAGAAAACATACTGCCAGCACACGTCGGTAGGTTATCAATCCACACGAAACACAACACAGTACGAGATTAGCAAAGTACACACGTTCTTATTGTTTCAGTACAAGTTTATTTAGATTTGAATCGACCCATCGACGAGCTATACTACGAGAAGTACGACAATGTCGCGGTGATGTTCGCTTCACTTACAGACTACAAACTGGGCATAGAAAGCGATGCCGATTTGAGTGACAAATTAATACTAAGTATATTGGACGAAGTTATATCAGATTTTGACAGGGTCAGTTCCTAAATCATATTCATACCAATTATCTAGGGATATAGGTTTTTCAATATCTATATGTTTGTATTTTTTATCGTCGAGCACTTAATGAACGAAGGAAAATGATACGTTATCTTCGTATTTCAGCTTTTGTTAATGGGCTCTTCTATTTATAAAGTGGAAAAGATAAAGGTTGCCGGTTGGACTTATATGGCTGCGTGCGGATTGGATCCAAATAGACGCGGATCGTTCGATTCCTCGTCTTACTGCTCAGCCGGGGACAAACATCAGAACAATTTGTATAATAGAGCAATCGTCGTTACAATGGTGGAGTTTGCGGCTGCTATGATGATGCAATTACAAAGTTTTAATCGAGGGTCCTTCCAAAGTTTTGAAGGCCTTAATCTGCGTATTGGTGGGCATTATTTTTGTTTATAAGAGATATAAGTATTGTCTGTTAACGTGAGTGGTACCCCCCTGTCTACACGTTTAAATAAAACACTTAACGGGTAGGAACGCGAATATTAGTACCATATCCCCTGCATAGCATTCGAAACGTGGCTTGACGTTTAGTAGTCAAAATAAGTTGTGAATAAGTCAACAAATAAATTTCGCCGTATTCCGTTAAATTTTTTTTATTTATAACAAATATTACAACTTACTCTTTAAATTGTATTTACTCGTTTTTACTTGGTGCTAACAAAGAATGACTTTTTAGGAATTTCAAACGGTGAGGTCGCAGCCGGCGTTGTTGGGTCCTTAAAACCTTTGTACGACATATGGGGTAACGCTGTGAACTTGGCGTCGAGAATGGATTCCACTGGAGAAACGGGACGGATACAAGTAATAACATTTGTTTTCTATAAAGAAAAAGACCAGAAAAATTTTAACACGGGATTTGACTGATTCCTAAAAAAAAGTAAAACACTTTTAGTAGATATGGCTTTTCCTTTTTCAGGTGACCGAAAACACGGCAATAATTTTAGACGAATGCGGTATTTTGACAACGTACCGTGGAGAAACATTTGCGAAAGGCGCCGGTTACATCAGAACGTACTTCGTTCCTTTAGATGAAGACTTTAATCTGGTGAAAAAGGAACACAGCCGCGACTTTTTTAAAACTGAATACGCACACAATTACTTAGCGAGAAATACAGCTTTAAGTGATACTTCAGTGGATTCTTTTGAAACAGAACCACGTTCTTTAGATGTGCGCGAACTGAACGAAGCGTATAGCGATTATGACGAAGATGAAATTTCGAACTATAACGAGGAGCCTGATTATTTCGATGAAGTCCAGATCTTTGATGCTGTATCACAGAAAAGTCTAAGTGATGAATCCTCAGAATTTGGAAACAATAATGTTTTAGAGACACCTTGCTAAATGAGTATAAGCTGTGTGTTTGTTGCGTGACTCCATTAGGTATAACATATTATGTATAGAAATAGGTAACCAAAATTGTTATCTAAGGATATCTTGAATATAATATAAGCACTTTATTAAAATCAATTCTTATATACAAATTCATTATTAAAACTAAAAAATATTATATATAACTATAGATCACATATCTTTAACGAGTTTTAACAATATTTTAACGTGTAGGTATATTTATTACATTCCGGTTATAATTGGTTCAGTCTAGATTAAAATAATGGAGTGTTTTTTTTTCTTATAGTATAATAGCTTATAACAGCTAGCGTAGCTCAAAGAAACATAATATGCTGTTTCGTATTACCATAGTAGCATTTGAAAATTTCATATGCTGTATCAGCATGGTCTTTGCCCTTTTTCGCTTTACATTCATCTAGTAACTTCGAAGCTGCCACTTTGTCAATTCCTGCAGGTAATTTGGATAAGGCGACTTCACTGTTAAGCTTCGCATCAGCTGTTATCATTCCCGACTTTTGAAAGAAACAAAACAAGAACTTCTTAAAACCTTCGTCTTCGCTGAGTTGACCTTTTTTCGCTTCCTCGATAATTTCAGTTTTCACACCTGTCTCTTTGATACACTCAGCTGTGTATTCGTGCACTTTATCCTTCTGATCTTTCGATAAATGTATGTTCTGGAAATTTATCTCGATTTAAACTAATGTTAAAGTTTAATATTGTATTCAATTTTTATATAATTCTAAATATACTTACGTGGGCGTCAAAGCACGGAGCCAGCAGCATGACGCATAAAAACACAAGTATTGCCATATTGAGATGTTAGTCTTATTGATGCCTTTTCGAAAGTATTTTATTATATCGTAAGAGTCGCTTTTATATAAAATAAGGAAGGACAACAGGCAGGTGTTCTATAGTGTCTAATCACCGGACGTTAGGTGTCAGACGCTAGATTCCAGTTAATTAAATAAATAGTCTTAATTTTACATACATTTAAATATTTATTATAAAATAATACTAAGTCAAAATAAGTCATCAATAATAAGTCATCTACAAAAAAAAGGAGTTTAGGTGGGGTTAAATAGATCTTGTGTAATCTGTATGTACGTATATGCTAATCTCGGAAAGTACTGCACGGTGTTTTGCAGGTCCCGCTCGTATGGGGCAATTTAATATTATAGTACCATATTCTAAGACAATAAATACTTTTAACAAACCTTAACCTTATCTTGGTTTTTAGGCACATGTCTCAGAGACTTTAAAACTCCATATTGGTATTCAATATTTCCTAACCTAAGTTCCTGCCCTTGAAATAAACGCAAGTTTTATATAACGTTACATAATTTAAAGTTAGGTAAATTTATAATTGCACTACCATCTACCAAAATAAAGCACGAAAGCGTTATGGATGGTTATTAGGCTATATGTTTGTAGTCGGCCTTTATTAACTGGGTCACAATGCTTTTAATCTCGCCAAGTGACTAGTATGGATATAAATAACAGCTAAACTTGAATTTAATTTTATAAATGTTAAGGAATTTTGCCTTCGTACACTACTGGCAAATTAAAATTACTTATAAATAAAACGATCGCTACGATACATTAGAGACCAATGTGAAGAAACGAAAAATAATCTGTTATGTACGAAATAAGTACCTTTAATAATTAGGTATTAGCGTTTAAGTGGGAGGAGAAAACCTACAAGTTTCAGGGGTTGTAAACATTTTGTTATTTACATCATCTTATTATAAATTGTAGAGCATGGGTTTGATTGTCATTGTCCGCCTTATATGGCCTTATTAGGTAAGTGTAGGTAGCCGCTAGGTTTTTTTGTAAAAAAACTAAATGTGCCAATATTTTAGATTCTAGTTTGGTAACTATCATTTCTTCATCAATTCTACAACAAGTGCTATGGACAGACAATGATACTAATAAAATTATTATTGCATGCATATAGAAATATTTTTCTTTTGAAATAACAATTAGTGTAAAAGAAGAGCAAAAACCACAACAAAAGGTTTAGCAATGCACGGATTAAATCGTAAGGCTTCTTTGGAAGTCGAGTTCGAGTCCTTGGGCTAGTAGCGCGATGTGGGTTATTGTGATACAGTAGCTTAGTGATTGTGTGGTTAATAAGTGATTCTTACTGGAAACGAGTCGTTGTCCTGGAATACTTCAGGTACGTTTCAGGAATTTCACAAATGTTTATTTTACCTGTTTAAATTTTTTACTCCGTTTTTACCTCAACAACTAGAGGGTTCCATATGTAGTGGATTCTCTTTTCTGGACATATGTAAATTTGGACGAAAATAGACTTATGGTCTTTACAAATATTATTAAGCAATTCCAATAGTTGAATATTCATTGCACTGACTACTTCTTTCACTGAGAAATTAGTACTTTATTTCTTACAGTAATTAAATGTACCAGTGCAAACCAAAAACCTAAAACAAAATTATCAATATATCTAAGTATTATATATTATATGTTTATTACAGGGCCTTATAAAGTGTGATAATGACGGACGAAGAAACGGGCTGTCATCTTCGCAAGCGCCGGTTTGCCGGCTCTTCTAACTTAGCCTTAAACTTAGATGTAGGCTATCAAGTAAACGAAGGCTGCAGTGGCCTCGGTACGCCTTCACCAGGTTACAGCAAGGCAGCCCCAACACCGACATCCGCCCAACTTCGCCAGGAGTTCAGGAATAAACAACAATCGCTGGATATACCAGTACGTGTACGTAATATATATGTTTTTTATGATAAAGGACAGACAAACATAGGGAAAAAATACCAACCACATAACATCTCACAAGATGAAATGTCAACCCATTTTAACTTTGGATATTCGGAAATCTACAGACTGAAACCAAAACGTGATTTGAACTTCATCGCTTTTTCACCTGTGATCCGGGCGAAATTTAGATATTATGTCCACTCTTCTAATATCCAGTTTGCTAAAAGTCCACAGTGTTTCAGAGAAATTATAAATTAATAAGAAGCAAGGTATTTTTATTATCGTCTTGATAGATATTGAACCCACGACCTGTTGATTATGAGCCATCCATAGCTATCATAAGGTCAACGAGCTCGTCAAAGAGCTAAAAAAAGCAATTTTATGTTATATTGTCTCCTAACCCATTGTAGGCAGAAGATTGCGAAGAGATAGAGATAATAATAGAAAGCGACGAAGAAGAAGCAGACAGAGAAGAAAATGCATCTGCGGTCGTCAAGGTCGATCGCCCTGTAACGCCTACACCGGTGCAGGACTTCGGGGCGAGTGTCGTTTATACTGAAGGTAAATAAGTCCGATATTTGAAGTCATGATATGGTATTGCATGTAGAAGGCATGTTTAAGAATGTGTTTGTAATGATTTCTTTCAATTAAATTTTAGACATAATAGATTTATGAAACAATTAGGCTAAGTTGCGAAATTTCGCTAACGCAACATTCGCATACAGGTGATCTGAGATCAAAACAGATGAGTTCGCTGGAAAAAAATGAATGTTTTTCGCGGACTGTTATAACGAAAGGTGAGCTGTGTGCATGTTAGAATATGACATTACTTTATTCATAACATCAAACAAAACACTATCAATTTGTACAAAATACCTAAAAGTGAATATTTATTTTATTTATAAGTAACACCCCCTTTCCTATTATAGAGAAAGACAGACGAGCATGACGTTCATTTGATAGTAAGCGATATACCCTAGCCTGTGGCATATGAACAAGATACGGTGTAGCTAGAACCTATCTTGGCTTTGGATATTCCACCGACGAAAACCGAAACGCCATTCGTGGCTTTTTTATCTGTGGAAGATGGTTCGTGAGCGAGACCGGAATTTCGATATTCCTACCACCTATTTAATATCCAGATTTCCGGGCTAAATCCAAGATGTTTTAGAAGAGAATATAAATTTATTAGGTATTGGACGCGGTAGGGTTCGAACTCACGACCCGTCAAAACCACAATTATTAGCCGAGCATTGCTACCATTAGACAAAAGAGCTCGTTTAAGCCCTTCATAATCAGTAAATCAATTAATGATGCAATCTAATAGTAACCTTGTTAACTACGTTTCGGACGTTTTGCAGCAGTGGCAACGGAGGGAGTAAATGTGAAGCTAGTCTTTATTTCAAAGTTAAAGTTGCAATTTTAATTCGTTTCGTCATATTCGAAAATAAGTAAATGAGTATTTACTACTCGCGTCAACTACAGACAGCATTTTATTAACTATTCGCTTGAACCTCTCAAGTGATATAAGACGCCTTTTCAGGACCTCAAGCAATGGATTTCCTAAACGTAAATGCCATAGAACACGATTGCTACACGGACGTGTCGGACGCAGATTCGGAAGAGGAGGACATCTAGAACTTCGCTCCAGACCAGGTGTAGTCCGCAGAACGCATACAGCGGCTCATAGTTTCAGCAGTATATGAAATAATTAGACAGTCTGCAAAGTTCTTGTTTGCTTTCATATACATAATATATGCAACTACATTCCAAAGAGACAACCTAACTTATGGTAAAAGTATTTGTTTAAAAACAGACATGTATCAATGTTTTTTGTACGCGAGGGTAGTTTGTTAACCTTATATTTTGACTTTTAAATATTTTCTTCGCTTTTAAGTAATATTAAAAAGGTTTTCAGTATATACTACTAATGCTTCATTTTTTACGGGAAAACGAGTTACTATGTAACGACAATGGCTAAAGACTTTCTTCTATTTGGAATAGAATCTTGGAGTGCAAAGAATTTTAAATTACTTGCAAAGTTTTACACGAGAACTTTATTAAAAACTGATCAAGAATATAATTATCAATGTTACCTATAATTTTACGAAAACGTCGTGTCATTATTATAGGAAATCTTATATTGTAATGTAAGTGATACTAAAGAATGGAAATAAAGCTGTGTTTATTCTATACTGATTGTTGAAATATTTTCATTACACAATATAATTATTATAAGTATGGATTTTTACATTGTTTTACTTTTGACTTAGTGAAAAAGTTAGTCCTTTTAAGTTCATATAAATATGTAGTTGCTTCTTATTAAAAACTTTTATATAGCCCGAAAAACAGTTTTTTTAACGTTGAGCTGTGACTGAGTTTCCGACAGATGGCGCGCTCACCAGTTACTAAATAGTCTTTATATCTACCAAGACAGCATAAAATTTATTCTCTGCCTTATTTGTCAACCATTCAATCCCCAGTATATTATGTTAATAATGTTTGAATGGTGCCCGTCAATAAAGTGAGATACTTTTGAAGGTAAGAAAGAAAACCAACACGTTTTAATGAAACATCTAAACTAGTCATCTCTTTACAATAAATTAAACTAACTTAAGCACAGGGAAATATCTATGCACGGAGAAGTCAAACTCCGGTGGCGTCGTTGAGTCTTTCTTGTGGCCGTCTGCGAGTAATTTTAATACTACGAAGTTTGTCTTCGCCACTTTCAGCAAGTCCGTTATCTGGAATACATGTTTATTATGTTATATTTAATAATTTCATAAAGTATTATGAGCTGTAGCTAAATTTTGATTGCATATTGTTTGTGATATTAGTAATGCACTCTAATAACACTTTTTACGATATAAGACGACGAATTTTGGTTAATTTGGTCTCTCCGGAAACACGGTTGCTGCAAAGGACCGTGCCGGCAAGCATCCAAATCATTGAGTTACACTTAAAATAAATCAAATAAGAGTTTTACTATATCACGCAGCGTATTTACTATATCATACACGCGTTTTATTTTAATTTCTCTACGTTTCGTTACATCGTTAATTTAATAAGATAATTCAATCTTCGGTCTTAGATCAGCTTCTACACCGACAGCTGGTTTACGTTTTCTTATAACAGAGGAGGTATACAGCATGACCTTATGTCAAAAACGTCCATCCTACAAAGTCCTCATACAAATTTTATTTTCTAACCTCCTGATCCGGCGTTGTAATACTTTCCAAGAGATTCCTCGCTTGTTGGAAATGTTTGCAACCACCCAAGTACAGTATAACGGGGTTCTCATATCTGTAATGAAAATATTTCAAGTTAACAGGTGTAATTAATAAGGTTGATATTCCTATGCGTAAACCCTTTATGGATAAATAGCTGTGGCCGCGACTTCGTCCGCGTAGAATAGTTATTTTGGACTTCAAAATTTATTTTAGCAAACCTCTTCCTCATATTTATAAACTTTAGCTCTTATCCACGACGTCGTCCGCGTCCTGTCGTTCTTGCGAGTTTATCTTAAAAGATAGACATAATACACAGTTGGGGACATTTAAATAGGAATCGATCTTTTTGACATATTATTTGGATATTATGTACCGTTTCGTATCACACGCAACAGAAGCCCTTAAAGAAGATTAATTTTCCCCACTTCTTCTCCCTTACTGGTCGCAGCTTGATAGCCCAAAGCCTTCCTCGATAAATACTCTAACCAACACTATTTGAGATAAGCACGTTCTAACAAACATACATCTCTTCAGCTTTATAATATTATAATAGATGGATACTTACTGTAACGGCTGAGTCATCTCGAAGAACTCGAAGTACAGAACTTGTGGTGGAGTCAGGACAGAGAACGGCGCAAACCGATGCTTGTACCTCACCGCTTCGTTATCGAACCGAGAATTAGGCCTTTTGATTTTCCCTTGCAGCTTGAATGCTACAAGTGCCTAAAGAATTAAATTTTAATTAATTCGTTAAGTATGAACGAATAATTTTAGGTGATGTCGGTAGTTGACGCGAGTAGTTCAGACAATATCTAACTAACTACTTACTAAGAGCAGTAGTAAAAGAATAATCAAATAAAACACTTTTAGCGGTATAAAATGCGAATTGTATCAGTTACATCCGACGGGTCGTCGTTAAAATAGTTTAAAAATAATAAAATGTACTTATTTTGCATTTTAAATGCTATTTTCATTCAATTTCAATATTTTTATTACATTTTTTTAAAATCTTGGCTGCTTACACGTATGTCAATAAACAAGACAATGTAGTTTCAAATCTCGGCGATAGACTTAATTATTTCAAGTAAATTTCCTGTAAATAAAATAGATCAGTAAAACACAGAAATGTTGTCGCCCCATGGACCATAGGAAAAATATATTTCAAACTCTTTCCCATGTTATAATTGTACCTTTGAAAACATTATTATTTTTTACATGCTATTCATATGTTGGCATTATATAAATTAAAAATTATATCTTTGAAAAAAAAATAGAACTCGGGAGGACTTCCCCTTATCCACAGCGTTCCATACTGTTTCTCAAACCAATTGATCTACCGTGTTTTACTACAACGTCAAATATTTTTTTAACCTTTGAACAAGCCGCCACTCGCAATTGAAAAAAATGTTAAGGTTGAAATTACATTGACAATATCACGGAACGCTGTTAACTCCGGTTCAATTCGTATTTTTTTTTCAATCTAAAATAAACCTATTTAATTATTGCACCTTATAATATCCCCCGCACATGTTCTGCAAGACCTGACAGAGGAGGGCCTCCCGAGCGTAGGGCCGAGCACGCTTCTTCAACTTCTTGGCACCGCTACGTTTTTCCGAACGACGAGACGCATCGCCGGAGAGGCTCTCAGCTCGCCCTAATGCCGATACCAACCAGCCATATAGGAACTCATAAAGATACCTGAAAAATTAAAAATACTAAAATTTACACCGTCCACAGATGAAAAAGACATTAAGTTTAATCATGTTTGGGTCAGTCCGTAAATTTCCGAAAAAACTTCGTAGGAAAGTCATTTCATTATAAACACTTTTAACGGCATAATACAAAGCATCCGAAACGTCATCGTAGTTTAAACATAAGTAACCTATTTCCCGTTTACACGTTAAGTGTTTCCTCAAATGTATACTACTCGACCTCGTCGTTTTTTATATGTAACAGCGCCATCTAGTGAACATTAGAGTGCCATCGCATTAGGCATGCATGTAGCGAAATCTATTTGCATTCAGGCTTTTATAGTAAATTGTATAATTAATGCCCTTCCAAGGGTGTTATTCAATTAACAGTGAATATGATTTACTAATTAAATGCCATAAAAGAAATAATAATGTCGCAATACTTCTTTGTCGGCGAAGAATGTAATATATAAATACATATATCTCACCAAAATATATAGTGGTACTCGTGAACACTGTAGAGTTCGAGCTCTAGTCCAGATAGGAGATACGCAATCATCACGCGCAGGACATGGTATAGAACCCACGTACCAAACCAAGACCGACCGCCACCCGCCGCACGGCCCACAACTGCGTCCACACTCTCCGCCTGAAAATAGTTACAAGGCATTATTATTTTTTATTAAACACTTTAAACGGTATAAAAAGCGAAAATATTGGACAAACTATTTGAATTTCAAATAGTCAAACGATTTCAATATAATATCATAGTGTGTAAGTATCATAAAAAATGTGTATTTTGAGATATTGAGATATATTTAATCTTTAGTACAAAATGAAAGGAAAATACTATTAATACTTGCCTCCTCTTGCAGCGCTGCAAACTCATCCAGCAGAAGAGCAAACTTATCGCGCTGTCGGGCACGGTTGTGGCCCGACACTTGCAGCAAAACTGCGAAAGGGCGGACGCAACGCGCTAGGAACTTCTCAACATATTCACGGGCCTGGAATAATAAAATATATGTATGTCTTAGTATTCTATGCATATGTGATACGGTGTTGGGCGTTGGTAATGGTAGCATTGTTTGGCTAATCTACGAGTCGTGATTTCGATTCCCACCGGATCCAATATGCTTCCGATTATTTTATTTTTTTTGAAACATTTAAAAATCGAAAGTATATTAAAAATAATTTGGACTCGGGCAGGACTTGAACCGGCATCGTGCTACCAATTGAGCTCAATTGGAAAAAAATATATTTCTGTAACATGATCACCTGAAAATCTGTATATTAAACAGGTGGTAGGAATATCGTAAATTAAATGTAAAAGCTGTGAAGCTTAATCTCGTGTCGGTTTCAGTCTATAGATGTCTGATTATTCAAAGCCAAAATAAGTTCGACAGCACATCTTGTTTTCATGTTGTTGACTTTGATGAAGTCAAAACACCCCAGGAATAAAACAATGCCTGGGGACAACTTTATGGGGTATTTTTTTCTATTTATTTTCGATTTTTAAATTACATTAAATTTTATTTTTCTTAGTTTTAAACTTATTTGCTGTACTTTTGATGTGAGTTGTATGCATTTATGTTATATGTGTAAAACTTGTAAGCGTCGTAGATAAAGAAATTATACTTACGGGTGGATTAGCTCCAGTCGGCGTCTTAGCAAGTACAGGCGGGTTGACAAAACTCTTTATAGATTCTCTAAGGATTTCGATAAAGACCTGCTGCGGCCGCTGCCCTGCCGGGCTGCTTACGTTGCTTTGGACCATAGAGGCTAACGCTGCTGGCGATGGGCTCAAATACAGCAGCTGTAGCGCCGAACGGGATAGGATACACGCACGCTGTCTGCTGAAGTCCATGAAGAAATCCTGGAAAATATAAAATTTGTTCAATGAGTTACAATCGCCAATAATATGAAAGGTATAAAAATTACTTTATAAGCAAAAAAACAATTTAATTGTTATAATTCTTAAATTATTTTTAGAGCCTTAAAACATATTATAACAAAAAAAGTAGCGATCCTTTTCCCCAGTTCCCTGAGTGCAAACCGTGACCTTCCCTTGTACTGGAGGCCAAAACCCACTTTGGGTCATTGCGCCAGATCCTTTTTGTCAAAAAACTTTTGAATTATAGACTCACATACCAATGCTGTATGAAAGTTGGTGCAAGATGTGATCTTCCACGCATGTCTGAGTCTTGTCACAAGCGAATCGAAGTATTGGAGCGCGTCCGGTCTAGCTTTGATGCGGGTATATCGAGGAAAAGTCGGTGGCAGCAGACGCTGATTGATCATCGGCTCGAAACCCATAGGATTAGGTGCGTCCGCTAAAAATCATTTAGTATTAATTATAATATTATAGGTCCCATTATAATAAATTTTAGCTAGTTGTATTTACTAGATATTATTACACAATGGTTAGGTTTTGACACCACTGGCGCTGTCAAGTGTAACCGGAGTGAACTTTTTACCAAAAATCGTTAGTATCTATGCGTAATCTTCTCTGAAATTTTCTTCGAAAACAGAAGCCACCTCAATAATTTAAGACATCGCCGCCTAGACTTAATCAATTAAAATTGTATGCGTGCAAAGCCGAAATAAAATCGTTATGTGATATTAGGGGCTGGAGGCTTTCATTGATCATTGAAGATTTTAGTATTATATCTGAATGGTTAACTATGATAGCTACCCCTAATGTACTAGCAGCACATATTACTTATATACGAAGTTCTGGATCTTATTAATATTGCTCAGCATTTGATTTGCTGAAAACCCCTGAAATCAAATCTGCCCAAATACAAAGGAAGATAACAAAAAAAAAGTAACTCATACAGTTTTCCTCAGCCTGAGTCCCCTTTGCAGCTGTTCTAATAATAACTTTCATCATTTCTGAACATCCATTAAGCAGCGCAACACAGTCAGCACCGGATTGAGAATCTTTTTTAGTTATCAATAACAGGGCTTGATAAAACATCCTGGTAAATCTAATCCTAGCTGCAAGGCCTGTCCATACATTATTTCCCTGGAAAGAAAAAGAAATAAATAATTTACTGACAGTACATAATAATACCATGTTGACAAGATCTATATTTATACTAATACATAAAGCTGAAGAGTTTGTTTGGACGTGCTAATCTCAGGACCTACTGGTTCGAATTGAAAAATAATTTTTGTGTTAGCTAGAACATTTATCGAGGAAGGCTATAGGCTAAAACATCGTGCTGTGACTAATAGGGGCGAATATACAGCGGGAAATGTGAACAAAACGTTGGAAAATTTTCATATCTGTGTGTTTTCGATGCATGCGCTGCGAAAACGGTTCAAGATACCAAAAAAATATGTAGGAAAGAATGATTCCTCTTTAAATGATCTAAAAAAGTCCGCGATGCTATATGTCTTCTAAGATTAACTCGTAAGAACGACGGGAATGGACGCAACCGAAGTCGTAGGTAAATGGAGGCTTAAGTTAATAAAGAACGATTTTGGATGACCAAAATAAATATTCTTAGCGGGCGAAGTCGCGGGCACAGCTAATCATATATAACCCAGTTAAAAATTAAGGTGTCTTGAATAATGTATTATGTCCAAGCTTTATAACAGTTTTTTATTCCCAAATGTCCCAAGAAGTAGTGTCAAGCGGTGGTCCCAAGATAGAACAACCCTTTCAGCATCCGAAACACCCCCATGTATGTTCTGCAATTTTTTATAGTTTTCGAGTTACGAATTTTTTTCTAAAATTTTGAGAATTTTTGACCTAAACACCTTAAACAAGGTGATAAGACTTTTTCTAGATTTTTTTTCACAGCTCATCAAGCATGAGTTGTACATTAATAATTAAAACATTTGGTTTCGTAACCTTAACGGAAAATTAAAAATATGATGGTTCAAAGTGAAAGAGTTACGAGCCGTGAATTGCGTTTTAAAATTTTTACTTTAAATTTAAAAATATTAATAGGTAGCTTTGTAGCTCATAAGTAAATTTAAAAACTGCGGCAGACAGCTCTCAGCTTTAATAATCATTAAAAAAAATTACAACATAATAAGCTACTTTTGCTAATACCGGACCCCAAAGACATATAGGCGTAAAAATGTAATAAAATGTGGTTTTTGTTAAAAAACAATAGCACCCTAGCTGTAGTATTCGATGTGTCTAGGGGACCACCGCTTGACACTAGCTCTTGGGACATTCTGTATAAGCAAACAACAATTTTTATGTACATTTTTTTGCAGTTATTTTAAAGACAAATATATGCACACCTCATCTTCTAAACTCTTTGCCTTCTTATTCAACTCCTCCTCTTGTTCTCTCAACATTGATATACACTTTTGTTCTGTCACTTCCAAGCTGGCATCGTAAGTGTTACCAGATTGGGGATTTGATCCTAATCTATATCCATAGCCCATGGGCAGAAAATCCTCCTCTTCAAATACTTGTGCCCTAGAATGAAAATAAAATATCAAAGCTTGTACAGCAGTATTAAGCTCAAGGTGGCTTAAGTTCAAATCTCAGAACAAATAAGTAGTAATGAAAAACATACTTATTAATACAATCCCTAATACAGTCCAATAGTTTATAAACGGCAATGCAAAAAGCCTTCAGTGGTTTATTTGGTATCGAGTGAGGTTGATGTAGGTAAAGATTTGTAAATACTGTCTGAGCCAAAGAGTGACCTTCTAGCCAAGATACGATACAGGCCATGGTGGCATCTATAATACCAATCAGCTCGCTTGGTTCCAAGTCATCAATTTTAATCTTGCCAGACTGGAATAAAGGAAAACATAAATAATCAAATCTAAAATCAAAAATAGATAATAAAGATCATTAAAACTTTGAAAACAAAAACCATAATATTATGTAATGAGATTCTTATAAAAATGTCATCAGAATAAACAGTGGCGAAAAGGTGAAGTTTAAAAATCTCACCTCGACAGACTGTTGGAAATTTAGGGGCTTCGGATTTCCTCTATTGCACAACATGCCTGCATCCATTTTAGGATCCATCATTTCAATTGCAGACATTGCTTCAAATAGACCAAATAGGTGTCCATCATGCAGGAGTTCACCTAGCTGAAGCTCTGAAATTTTTTAATTTAAATATCTTCTGATTGAGATTTTTCTTCTAAATCAAAAGGATTTCCGCTTAGGCCATTTAACAATTCTAAGAAATTTGGTAAGAACAATAGTGTTAAATTGTAAACTACTCTGCATTGTATATATTACAATAAAGCACAAATTACATTAATCTCCACAATTTATATCAAACAGATAAATTGATACCTTGAGTATATTTAAAGAAATCAGAAGTAATGTCCATCCAGTTATATGTGACTTCCGGTGCATTCTCAAGTGGATCCATGGTCCTATTAATATGTAAAATATATAAAACTGCATTTCCACAATAGAACTGCCTTAAATACTAGACTGCACAAACCATATTTTGTTGATACTAATAAATGAATAAGAACATCTAATATGAAACATGTAAATATCCATTAGATATTACTTATTGGATTTTTTTGTGTCATAGTATTTAAACAATTTGAATGATAATAATAACTTGATTCAAGCTACACAATATTGTGAATTAAATTGAAAATTAGGCACATAAACCACTGATCAAATATAACAACTGGCCTTTAGTTTTTAAAAAAGGCAATCAATATATTACCAACACTGAGCCTATTTACAAAAGCTAAAAACAACACCGTGCATGCGCAAGTTACTAACCCTTCACCATAGTAATAATCATCGCTATCACCCATTTTTAACTATAAAAAATGTTAAAATTAACTCAAAACCAAAATATTCTGAAAGCAAGTAGTTAATCACCTTCAGAAAACCTAAGTTAATATTATCACTTAAATATATTGCTGGAAATGATTTAACACAATCGCATTGAAAAATATACGCCTATAATTTGGTAATATAAATGATTTTATTCCCTTATGTATTACATTACAGTACAAAAATGAATGCCAATTTATTGAAGCAAATGCAAAATCAACCGGTCAATGAAAACGAGCAATGCGCGACATATGACAATTGACATCTCTGACATATTTAGAGGTTGACATTGACAAATCAAAAATTATTATAGACTTGTACAGTGAAGGTAGTACACAATACAGACTACATTTAGCATTTTAAAAATAAAAAATGTGTTGAAAATAATTCAAGTTGCCGGTATAAGGTATTTTATTGATGTTGAAGCCTTAACTTCTTTATGTATCCCCATCATCATCTTGTACAGTAAGTAAATAAAACATAAGACAATTTCAAATATATTTAATACTATTTTTAAACAAGCCATTCGGTGTAGTCTCTCGATCCTGAATAACTGGGTCATAGATATCACTGTCCACTTGAGTCGGTTCGGATGTCGTGGATTCCAGAGTAGAAGACATTGACGCTGTATTATTGTTTCCTCCTGGTTTTGATAAACCAACTCCCCCGGCACCCATATCCATGCAATCCCAGTGCAAAATCTAGAATAACATACGATGTATTCATTTATTTTCTTTTTGCCAAATAGGTAAGAAATATGACTTAAATACAGCGATGTACAGTTTCCTGAGACCAATAAATTAATTCAAATAAAACATCATAGATTAGGTATGTTTTTTTCTTATAAAGTATAGAATGAATGACAAAGAAGAAGAATTGGGATTTGTAATTTATGTCTACGTTATTAGAATAGTTATTTATTGAGTATATTTAACATTTAATCGAATGCAAATGTGTATGTATCAAGTTGTGTCTATAATTTACACAAGTAGAGATAGTAGAAATAAATACATATAAATAATATATAAAATATTTTTTAAAACATCTATTATACATAAAAATCTATTTTATAAGGCATTGGTATTTAAAATTGAAAATAGTAGATATATTGCAAAAATTTATAGACCAACGATTTTAAGTGAAATAAAAAGGGAGATAAATGGAACATATTCTTTATCAATAAGTTATATTCTGCCCCATTTATATTGCATAAAAATGAACATCTATATTAAATATAGGGAGTCTTTAACTTACCAACACCGGAGCTTTATCGATTCTAGTATCCATATCCATACAGACGTGGAACTTTTGATCTACAATAGAAATGTCGTAAAGTCGTATGCACATGTCCATAAGACCGGGAGGTAAATAGGGCACTGGTATTGGAAGGCAGAAGGGTGGCGCATTTCGGGCTGAAACGTAATAATATGTAAATTTAGAGTGCCTGCTTTTATAATCGGTATGTACGAAATTTCTATGATAAGTGGGATTAGTATACCCCAGTCTAATATTTACTAAACACTTAAAAAAAAAATAGACTAGAAACCTATTTGTTATAATCAAGTCACATTATGTAAGCTATAGGTAAATACTGTCTGTTGTTGACGCGAGTAGTACACATTCAGATTAAACACTTTAAAACGCAATAAATATTAGATATATCGCGTGAGAATCGTCGGGCCGTCTTTAATATAAGTTCCAAATAAATAACTAATATATATAGCGTAATACGCTACTATTAAACGCTAAACTATTAAAGTGTTTTATTTGAAAGCTAAGGGGTATATTATGTATTTGGGAACAAAGTATATAAATAAACTGTAATTGATTTCAAATGGCTCGCGAAACGAGGGCACATCTATTTATGTCACTCTAATGTTATCATCAATTAAGGTGGTCATACCTGAGAATGTCCTTTGAAACACACTTGCATTGTTCATATTTACTTCCATCACGAAGATAGAATCTTCTGGTTCGTATGTTATTAGGGCACATGCTGTACAAAAAGTAACATTCATAGTTTAGTGGTAGGCAGTAGTTTTCGAGGTCCTGAGTTATATCCTCGGTTCTAAATTTAATATGTAGTTTTTAAAGCAAGTTTCGAGTATGTACTAGACTAGATCTTGAAAGGAGGTGATGTCACTTCCGTACATCGTAGTGTCATAAGCAGTTGTTCCCAGTTATTGTCTTTGATTTAGTACCGTTACTTGTTAAAGCCCGAAGGATATAACATCTTAAGTCTCATTAACAATTAATAAAAACCTATAATATCGTAAGTATTACAATTTTATTTAAAAAAAATAATTGTATGAAGTCGTCAGAAATTATATATTAACATAATACTATAATTTTAGATAATGCTTTATTAATTATTTATTAAATATTGTGAAATATAATTTTCAAAGGACTTTTCTAACGATAATATTTTGTTAAATAATTAAAGGAGGGTAAGAATTTTTATTAAATATTTCCCAGTAATAAGAATATTTATACAAAATTTATTTTTCTGCTATCGAAATAAATAAGAAATATACTAACTGCGTCTATCATAATTGAACGTCTGGATTCTAATTCCAGTACAACAGCTACATCGCAAACCTTCGCATTCACACGGGCCACCCCTAAAAGGCAATCGTATGAACCATCCAGGTTTATACCAGGGCCTGGGCAGCATCTTTCGAATCGTCTAAAAGAAGAAACGATTAATGTATTCTATATCCATGGTAAAGCGGAAAATTACAAAAAGTAATTACCTCATTAGTTTTTAAGTCATAATAGACTGAGAAGTCAGTAGGATCCATTGAGTTGTCTTCTTTGTTTCCCCATAAGGCAAAGTATTTTCCTCTAACTACCGTCTCTCCTACACAGAAAAATGATGATTCTATTTCATTGTTTTAGGTATGAAACAAATAAGAAAATAATAGTATGAAACCGGGCTTACCCAAACATGTTACCCAACACAACACTAAAAGAGGTATTACTTTCATCTTTACACGTTCTCTATACAATATAACAGTTGAGTACTCAAAGAACAAGCATGAAATGAGCGCACATTCGTTACGTCAAAACAAACAGATAAAAGGATGGGCAGCTATTTGTATGCAAGATCAGTGCTCAAACGCAACTGACTTGCGGGACTTTCTAGAGAAACTCCTGCGCATGTAGACGCACCACTACTGACCATTAAATATCCATTTTCAACATGCTCGAGTATTTTCTTTTGCGACGAGATATGAGATCATAACGAGAAATAAATTATATAGTTACGTAGTTAGGTATCCAGATTTTCTTTCGTGCGAGTTTTCACAAACACTTCACGCGATGTGTTTTAATAAAATACTTAATTGGTCACGAAGAAAAAGTTGATTGCGTTGAGTGATAATAATTTATTTTCCTTAAAGTACGACTATATTAAATGTTATCTTAATACGGATATGTTCTAGCAAATAAGATCATCTATCGAATACTTCCAAAAGAGATCGAACGATGTTTTGTTCATCGTATTCTTCGATATCATCTTCTCCCGCGTCTATCACTGCGTCCACCCCCCCTTGGGGATTGGGTATTGGCAATCCGCCATTTTCTTCGGGTTTTACTCTTACTATTCCGTTGGCTCCCATTCTGCAAATGCAAGATATAATCATAATGCGTGAATATAGCAATCATTTTAACTGTCACTTATCTCCTACAAAAAAACCAAAGAAATTTAATTAAAATAAATTGAACCGGTTCATCTTAATGATAATTACTACTTTAACTATACATAAGGATAGGCAATCGTTACAAAAGGCTTCATTTCTTTGTAATATTAATAGTTATCCAAAGGAAAAGAAAACTAAACGTAAATGTAATTCTAAAATCTATATAAAACGTAATTTCAAAGTTAACAGAAAGTTAATAAGCACGTTTAGTCATGTTAAACCAGAACCACTTGCAAGTTGTGTTTTAACCGTTCCGTACCATTTTCTAGGTACACACATTTAATACCTTCGTAGTTACAATTAGAAATGTATTAACAAATAATACAACCTTACCTTAGGCAATCAAAAGTAAGATTGAACAATTCTAGAGCCCGGAATTTTCCAGTCATCCCTAAACAAAAGTGAAAGTTTCTCCCCGGGAAAAATACGTTGTAGAAACGAGCGCACACTTTCAAATTTGGCATCCTCGGTGGGTTAATACATATAGGACGTGGATTTTTACCTGAAAGATATTAAACAATTATGGCTAATTCACAGAACATTAAACTAAAATTGTTACTTAATTTTTCTTTCTTTTAATAATTACCTGACATAGAGTTTTCGTAAAGAATTCTATCATTCATAGACATAGCTACATCAAATGCAAAATCCCCGGGGTGATATGTGACTTTCATGCAGGCTTTTTGGTTGAAGAGGTTTAAAACATATCCCGTACAGCATTTGCAAACACCCATTGCGCAATTGCACCTTCTATTCGGCGTACTCGATTCATCTTCTTCATCGCTAGTATCTTGCCTTGCATTCGGAAAGATGGAAAAATTTCCCATCTTGATTTTCGATATTAATATATGGGAAGAATTTAATAATTCCACATTTTGATCTTCTAAATTAACTAAGGTGGTAGCATCAGTTTCTAAAACAATATAAATCACGTGAGATGGAAGAATTTAAAAAATTGTTTATAACTATCATAAATAACAGTGATAAATATATTAAATAAAAGGAAAATGATCCATACCGCTTCCTTCTGTAGCTGTTTCGTTTGCACCCACAAACAAGGTCACTGTTACGAGTCCAAAAAATAGAATCTCACGCATCATAATGGTCACCATTCCACGAACTTGTGCATAGGATCGATGTAAGAATGAGACTCGCCTCTGAACTTTAGGTTTAAGCAAGTCGTGTGGTGGAAGCGGGACTAACTTTTTAATCAAGTTCTAACTACTTTCACTAAACGATAAACCTTACATTTATTTTTAAAGATAACTGCGTGTATTAAAAATAAACACATGATATTGCTACGTATATTATTATAGTTACTAAATTAAATACAATAAATAGTTTGGTTTCGTTTGTATAAATTAATGTCTTATAGTACTGATTAAAAATCTCGTCCGTCGAAAATTCCACCTATGGCGTCACCGATGGCGTCCAATGGTCCATCATTACCACCTCCAAAAAGTCCACCACTAGGACGGCTACCTTGACCGCCTAATATGGCACCTGCTGCATCTAGAATGGTCCCTTCTTGTTGATTGCTGCTACCAAATAAATTGACCGGTTTGGGACCGGAAGATACAGGTTTAGGTTTTAAACCCGTTTGCACTCCGGAAGACCCTAATCTACAACATATTATAAGATTATTATTTAAAAAATATTATATTAATAATTATCAAATTCAAAATTCTTACCCGAAACATCTAAACGATGCGGAGTAAATTGTGAAGCCAGCGATGTCTGCATTAATATCTAAGCAGGCGAATGCATTTCCATTCCTCACACGGATATTACTTATTTCGGCGCAAACACGAATAAACGGCGCTCTTCTTGGGTTAATACATATTGGTGGAGGATCACTGGCTGTATATAAAAATTAAAATTACACTTCAAAATACCATAAATAATTAATCTTATATCAAGTTTAAAAAATATTACCGGAAACACGTCGTCGAATAACCGTGTTGTTGTTTATACTCAATTTGACATCAAATACAAAATCTTCGGGAATAAAGGATATATTGCCGCAGGCTTTAGTCCTAAAACGCTCTAGGACAGCCCCGGTACAGCACCCACATTGTCCCGACATACAATTACAAGGGAATCTGATTACCGTCCCGTTTACACCTCCTTCTGGCTGTTGTGTGATCACATCGTCTTGTACAGTCGGTTTTTGGGTTACTTCAGGGACAGATGTTACAGAAACAGCCCCGATATCGTCTACAGGTTGTTCACTCACTGGTGTGGGATCATCGGGAGATTCATCTTCTAAAACTTCATTGTCTTCTTCATAGTTAACTTCGTTTTCATTCTCCGCGACGGATATAGGCACCACAATTGTCACTGGAGACTTAAGAACTGGCGTGGGATTAAATGCCTCCTTCCAAATAGCTTCTGGTACTCTAAAGTTTATGATATCGTAATTTCTGTCCTCCTTCGTTATAAACTCACCTGAAATTCGATGATTAAAATGTAAAGAACTAAAATTATTGCGTTAATTTATTTTACTATACAACATTTACCGTGTCTTGCTAAGCACAGAGATAAAGTCCCACAAAGAAATAAAACCTTAAAAATTAACATTGTCGTAAGCGATTCCTTCAATTACAACAGATACAGTCGACTTGCTTGATCAAATTGTTCTGTAGCATGACTATTCCACCTATTTAAATGTCGACAAACAAAGTTTCAATAGTCCGTTTCTGCTGTTCGGTCATTGAACATAGCAAACAAGTTTTAAATTTTAATGTACAGTCGGGAGAAAGTTGTGACTTTAAATGACAGTATTGATTCCTACTTTCTGTATTGGGGACGCAAACTGAATGCTATTAAGTCTGTTGTCAGAATTGAGCGTATTTTTTTATATTTAGTATTAAGTTTATTTATATAAGACAAATTTACTTTGTATTCTCGTTAAAAATTTAATGCATAATGTATTTATAACTAACATACTATTAAAAAGCAATTATGTAAGATATAATTAATACTTTTTTATGATTTTCTCCAAATTGAAAATATATTGTTGTTGAAGTCTAGTTTTTGTTCATAGCGTATTAAATCATCATCATTTGTTTCTATTTTAGATGCTATATATTTGTGATATATTAAATGATATAAATTTAATAGGAGTAGCAAAAGTAAAAGCCCTCATAAAATTTTAGTTTTAATAGTAAGAATAAATAATACAATAATTAATAATTTAGCTATTTACAGATATAGAATACATTGTAGAAATAAATAATTTAACTTAAGTTTATTTCAGTTACGCAAGAAATTATATTTATTTTCTAGACCATTCTCGCATCATTTTATTTTGGCGCTTATTACTTCTTCTTCGCGCAACTTCAATGTCGGGCAATCCTAGACTTTCGTTGATAGCATCGAGACCGCCTACAATATCGTAGTCGGCATTGCCATTTCTGTGTTTTTTATGTTTATTTTGATTTTGCCTCTTATTACGTCCAAATATTCCCAACTGGTGACCGACACTTTCACCTATTTTTGTAAGGTCCAAAACGTCAAGATCCTCCAGCTCAAATTGTTCACCCCTATGTTTCTTCTTAGGTAGAACTAGACCTTCGTAGTGATGGCCGCGGCTTTCGTCGGCATTTGCTTCTTTGTCAGATATATGCTCTGCAGAATGTGAATCGAGGCTTTGAACAATTTGAACCATATCTTCATTTACGCCATCGTCAACTTCAGTGGCGAAAGGAATTGTAGAGTGAGGTTTAGGAGTTATTGTTTGAATTTTTTCGTACATCTGTTCCTGGCTAGCTTTGTTTTCTGACACAGTAGGAATGATTTGGGTCACAGGCATAACAGCAAGTTGTCCAGTTATATGGGCTAATGACATTTCGAGTCCGGAGTCTTCAAAACTTGTCGCAGTAATGGGAGTTGTAGCAACTACGACAGATGTTTTTTTGTCGTTTCCGATGTTAATTTTTTCATTACTTTCCGCTATATTCTGTACCGATTGTGCATTTGTTGATTGGCTTATTTTTGTGGATTCTGTACTAGCAGATACTGAAGAAGATGCTGCTTCAGCTAGATTCGAAATCGGAAAACTTTCTGTGCTTGCAGTAGGTCGACGTACAGGTCGTCTTGCTGGTCTTCGCGTTGGGCGACGATTGACAGGCCTCACTCTTACTGTTGTACTTCTCGTAATCGGTTTAGGCGTAGTCCTAGTATTTGGTTTTCTTGTGGTTCGGCGGTTGGGTCTTGGTCGGCGAGTAGTTGTAGAGGAGGTAGATACTTGGACTTGTTTATTCCTATTCTTGTTGGGTTTTTTGGTACCGCTAGAACCGAACAAACCTCCTAGTAAATCTTCTCCTAAGATACTGAACCCTGTGTAATCTGCGTCTGTATCCACATCATTAACTGCATCTATTCCACCTAAAAAAAATATCTTACTTTAATTATTATTGTAATTACTATTAGCATTAAAATTGAAAGAGCCACCTAACTAATGATTATCTTAAACCCGTATGAAATGTATTTTCATATTATTTATATTTAACAATTTAACCACCATCATCTTCATCATCATCATCGTCGTCGTCATCATCTGCATCATCATCGTCATCATCGGCTGCTAAGCCGAAGTCGTCATCTTCGTCGTCGTCGTCATCCTCCTTTTCTGTTTCATCTTGAGGCACCAATGGGAGTGGGTCAGCTGGCTCAGAGGTCACTCCTCTGGGCCCAAATTTGAAACACGATACTCTTACAGCGGCTTCAACGGTGCTCTTAGCTTGCAATTCTAAGCCAAGGCAAGCGCGAAACTCTTCTCCTGTCTTTGCAATGTTATATACTCGTCCACAGAATTTCGAAACGCCTCCTGGTAGAGGCATACACACTGGACTGGGCTTGCGACCTTAAAATTAAAGTTGCTTTAATAAGTTTTGCTTTCTCATTTTTTTTTAATCATAATTTCTAAGGTTATACGTACTCGCAACGGTCCGATTTGTTATAACTTTTTTCCCAAAACTTAGTGATATGGACATTTTGTCGCCCTCCAAGTACCTCAGTGAAGCACATCCTGCGAACAAACATACGTTTTTTAATTTTCTCAATGTATTTAAACAATTTTAATGTCATATTATGTCTTTAAAATGGCAATAAATGTTTACCTGGTCCGTTTAAATTTACCACCGGTACTGCGAAATCTCTACAGCAATTACATAAAGACTCGGAGCATCTGCAGTATCTATTTAAACTATTATCTTCGATCTTAATATTATCATCTTGATCTTTATTTCTAAGTCCTTTTATATTGTTCTTCTGCTTATCTAAAAAAACAAAGAAGAAAAAAATATTATTTTGAAGAATAAGACATAATTTTATTAATAATTAGTTAACGCTAATGCATAGACATCAGCTTAAATACGGCTGAATGTTTCTATGTTTGTCGGTTAAAGTATAACATGAATATTTTTAAAGACATCCTGTACATAAGTACATGTACTGTTACGATTGAATGCACTTTCACATTTTTACCGGTCAATGTACGATTCTTATTATCCACTCATGAATACGTATATCAATTACATAGTTCTTACATAATGTTTTCATAGATGTGTATATAAAGCACCTTTTTTTAATCCAGGAATTAATGTTGTCAATTATAAAAGATAATGAAGTTCGAGAGACATTAATGAATGGATTTGCTACGTTAATTAGAAATGGCGTACCGCAATCCCATACATTTATTTATATTTTAATATCGAAGCCTTACCGCAGTTGAGTTGACAATTACATACCAAAAATTGTGAGGTAAGAACAATAATATTCTAATTTAAAATTGACAATATACGCGAGCAAATCCTATTATTAAATATATTTTTTATTTACTTACGAATATTTTTCGACGCGGCAAATGCCAGTAGCACGAATATCATAAGAAGTTCAAAAACTAGGGAGAGCTTCATCTTGGAGCCCAACCCCCTCTGAAAAATAAGGAAGAAATATATTAATGTCCAAATCTAAACACAAAAGTAAATATTTTTACAAACAATAATAAAATATATATTTGAATACAAATTGTTAAAAAGTGAAATGCTTATAATATTACACTTACTACAAAACTTAAAAATATAAGCGCGCTGCGTGCGCGTTGAACTCTTTTGAAGGAAAAGCTCAACGTTAATAATAACACAAAAAAATCTTAAAGGCGTTAAATCAAAATCTAAAAGTTGATCATCTGCTAAATTTAAAATAAAATAATTACTTCAAAATAACTTACGTTGTTAGACTTCTGATTATAAGCCTACGATTAAGCTTGACAATAAAAAAATATCTAGTTCGAAGTCACACCTGTCCGGCTGTTCAAGTCCAATTAATGTAATTATTAGAAATATTCGACCAGCCCTAAAACGTATTCCACGCTAACGTATAGAGCACTGAATTCATATAACTACGGCGTCTTAAGCGAAGAAATGTGAAGTGTAGTGCGAGAAAGGAAAACAAGAAAACAAGAGTCAACTGTCTCTCTCTTACACACGGGTGTCGTAAAGGAGGGGTGAGAGACGCACTTGGCCGCTTATGTAGAATTCAGTGTCAAGCACACGGACTAATTTACAAACTAATGATCAACTACTAGGAAATGTTTTTCCAATTCTGTGACAATTAATTTGTTATAAAAACTATACAATTTATGTCAGTTGACAACGTATATCTCTAAGTTGTCCGATTGAAAACTAAAATATTATGTAACAAATATATGTGTATTGTTTGAGTATCGTTATCGATTCTCTTTTATTGCCATATTTTAGTTTTAGCTCTTGAACATCAAAGTATGATTAAAACACGTATAATGTAATAATAAAAAATAATGTACAACTGATACGTTAATCTCAAAAGTTATTACACTGTAATAAATATCCTTCTCGTGAATAATAACTATGTCGATAAATATGGAGCACAATAAAATTATAATACGCACATATCGATTCAAACCAGCTGTGGGTATGAGTGCTAGGGTCACTTTCTACCGAGAGAAAGTTAGTTCCGTCTGACTTCAGTCTCGTGTTAACATTTACGAAATATCTCGTAACTTTTACGTCTTTTCTCTCGGATATTCTGGAATGTTCCTTAGTGTTTTTATTTTTTAAGAATGTTTTATAGAGTACTCAAGAAAAAAGTGTATTGACTACTGTCTGTAGTTTACGCGAGTAGTACACATTTAAATAAAGACTTTAACGGTTTAAAACGCGATATATATTAGTATAAATTATTTCTGCAGACCAGCAACCGAAACGTTGAGCCGTAATGGAAATAATATTCAAATGATTTTAACTAATATATATGGCGTTTTAAACCGTTAAGGTGTTTTATTCAAAGGTATATTGACTGTAGTAAAGAAATATCAGTAATTTAAAAAAATATTGTTTCGTTTTGTTCATTATCCTATCGATATCAATTCTTAGAAGATATATATTTTTTAATAGGCGATTTCTTTCACCCCACTTCCGAGTTATATGGCCGATTCATATAAATGCCTATATAGCGTGTAGGCATGTAAACATACATTTCAATGAATGTTGTTTTTATGTTTACAGCATTGAATAATTAACTTATTATGTATTTGTGTTAATTTGGCTTTTTGCAAACGTGAGGTAAACATAGATCCGGAAGATCACAATTAAATAGTAACGGATAAAAACCTAGAAAAAGAGACTCGTGCTTTGTGTATGTATGCTATGCAGCTACATGTCTAAACTCTAAGTAAGTTTGAGAAGCAGCTTTTATTTTAAGCTTAAATTAATCGCCTTTTTAACCATTGCTTTAAGTGAAGCATAAAAGTCAGACAGAACACAGAAAACTAATTAACTACTTGTCTTCTTAAAAATATAATATCGAGAGATGCAAAAACATCATGGGGAAGTATGTATGTATCTCTCTAAAGAAAAAATTGAATCCCCATTCTTTCGCAAGTAAACTTTGTTAATTTAGTTACTCAGTATTTAAAAAGTAATAGGTATTATATACACTCCCCTCTGTCGAACCAATTACCGCCTTCAGTCCTTCTTCCCTAGAACTACGACACTTTTTAACTCCATGACCTCTAGTGACCTTGATCTCTTTACTCTAAAGAAAAACGCATTTAAAAGCATCGTACAGAACTCTTTTTTTAACGAATCTGGTTGAAACTTGCACCCAAACTTGTACTGTGTTGTTGTTTTTTTTGTTTTCCTCTTTTAACTCTAATTGTATATAGGATCTCCTTTAAGTGTAAAATTGTACTTTTCGTTCTATAAGTGAAAACTTCCCCTAGCTTTACTATTCTACCTTCCTGTTCTAAATTATTTATAACTATTAGCTGTTAAGTTTTCCTAATATTATTTAAATAAATAAATAAATAATAATTTTCTATTTTTTACCGCTCATTTTTTTTTATAATCAATAATAACTTTTAACCGGCCAGAACACTAGGATCGTGAATTTTTAAACGACAGAATGTTTAATTGTCAAAGGTTTATTTAATAATATTTATATTGTGTTGAGAAAGAAAACCTCACCGCAGAGCCATACACACTTTCCTATTCATTTACCATCAGATAATATAATAACATAGAGCAGAAGAAATTCATAGAAGCTGCACTTTCTCGTTGCATCTCGCCGGTGCATGTGATCAAAGTAATGCTTTATTTTGAATTTCACCGTTCATTGTGATAGTACGAGGTGAAACCGACGGAGATCGGAGGCGAGAAACAGTGTTAGCTGAGCACTGGCTACGTTCGAATCATTCTCGTCTCGAGCGCGAATTTATTATTCGTTTTTCGTTATTCGAACGGGCTCACGATATGTTTAAGTTAACACTTTCGCTCTTCTTAGCGACCGTCGCCTTGGTTCACAGCGCGAGTATTTTGGGTGAGTTCTTACATATTTATAAGTACAATAATATTTTTTTAAATAATCAACTGCTATTTTTTGACATATTAAAGAGTTTATATATTAGTTTCATATAAAAAGTATACATAAACCTTCGCCAATAAGCCTATATTTTATAATGATACTAAATTAAGTTTGTATTAAATATTTGTTATAGGTTTTCTTGAGTGAAAACTTACAAAAATGTCAAAGCACACTTTCAATTTAAAACAGAATATTTGTAAGACATCATACATAAAGCAATTTCCGTTAGTCTGTCTCGCTAATACTCTATAACAGTTAACCTATCTTGGGTGACTTTTGGTTTTAAAAAGTGAGCCGTAATCTAAATTTGAAATGTAATGGAAATATTCCAGGGATCATAAACTTTCTTGTCAATTGTCTTTTTAGATAATAAGTTCTATGAGACATATTATACCTTAACCTATAAGACAAGGTTTTGTAATTGCTTTAAATATAATATAATGCCTTGCGCTACATTGCGTTGTATACGAGAGGCTCTGGATTCGATTCCAGATTAGACATGATAAAATTATTTAGCTAGATAGGAAAAGATAAGCCGAGGAAAAAGAGTGTCTCTCAACTTCACATATGTAAAACGGAGTTAAATAACCGACAGTTAAGTACAATAACCAATACTCGTTTCATAATAATGCATTACCCAAGTTCTATTACATAATACACAAACTCTTCTCAGCAGCGAACAATGACCGCTTGTGCGTGACAAAGCGCAGTGAAAGTTCTTGCATGTGAAAGTGAGATATTGCCTAAAATATATTCGGCGGCGACAAACATTATACATTGCGCGTCTTCTATTGTAATATTTTAAAGCGAATAATGCATGCATGACTTGAAAGCATTACGGGTTACACGGCTGACGTCATAGTTTAGTACATAACCTAGTAAAAAAATTGACATTTTGATTTGACTATTTTCGTTCCCGTGTTATGTTTTTCAATCAAAAATAAAAATAATAGCATAGATAATATTCGAATAATATGATTCAGTTATATCTACAAATATGTGCTCGATAACGTATATAAATACTTCCAAGCTCAAAACAATATCAGTAAACTGCCTGCAGGGCACTGACAACTAAATTATTCATAAAATTAATTTAGTTATATATTACCAACAGATTTCCTAGACTGGGACGACGGTAAGAAATTAATAGAGGTGCCCGAGTTAAGAAATGATCAGCCAAACAGAAACTGTCTGTGCAAAGGACCAGCCTGTGTATGCTGTGTGGACTTCAATATCACCTTTGTCGATCTGGGCGGACCAGGTAAATAAAATTTACCACTCAGTATAAAAAAACTCTAATCATTTACTTTTGTTAGTATTCTTACCTCTTAAATAGTAAGTATTAAATTAAAAATCGATTTTAGATTGAAAAAAATTCACGACACGTACAGGACTTGAGCCGGTATCCATAACGTTTCCTGCTTAGATATAATTTGTCAATCTAAAATTGATTTTTAATTTATATAGAGTCAGCATGTGAAAATAATAACACGTGGAAATATAAAGTATTATTTGTAGTATTTTTAACGGTTCCAAACTTCGAAGTGTATGTCTGAATTAAGTTTACACGTTTATAATACATTTCTCGTTTTGAACCATTAAGTCCTATAAAGATAAGTATTGCTTTTCTAACCACAGAATTTAAAAAAATGTTTTATATAATTTTGTAAGAAAGTACGGCATTAATACTGTTTTATTTTTAGGATGCGTTCACATGAAATACCTATCCCCGGACGATGGATTTTCAGTTAACGTCTCATACGGAAAAAACCTCTTACACACTTCGAAGATACAAGGTAAATTTACCCCACTTTTTTGTTGTTTAAAAAGCTAATTTATTTATACAGGTTTATTAGTAGAAAGTAGTCGTTCGTGCATCGACTTAATATTTAGAAAGCTTAATGCTATAGGTAATTTCACTTAGCATTTTCCTTGTTCACTAAAAACTGCAATGTAGGAATAAAACAGCAATTTTTTTTATTACTGTTTCGTCCGGGTCACAACCAACCACAAAAAAACGTCGTGTTTTGTCATTGGATTTTCGTATGCCAAAATCCAAAATAGATCCCCAAGTGCACTCCAGTTTGGCCCCCAACCCCTAGTGATCTTAAAAAAACTTCTTAGTTCTAGCAGCTGCTCATAGTTGTAACGTAACTGTTTTATAAACCAGCTAGGTCGATAAATTAGTTTCTATTTATAGCCATAGTTTATAGCTATTTCATTACAATACAGATGCTATAATTAAAAAAACCTTCGCACGAATGGTTTCGTAATTTATTTATTTATTTAGTAATACACACACACACACATTTTATGTAATAATTTTGTGTATTGTTTAAGGTTCTTGAGTAACAGCCATGTGTTTGCGAAAGTTTAGTAATATGGTTCGGTTTTTGAAAACCTCCGAATAATATGTATGATATTATTACAGGCACAAATCCCGCACCAATATGTCTACAAGTATTTGGAAAGTTTGCCCAAGTCTGCGCCAAATTCAGTGATCTAGCACCAACTGCGGATGGCTTAAGAGGCTGTCTAGAACTAGAACCTAGACTGCTAGGAGAGGCTCAATTAGATTTTCCTATTGGATGTTTCAAATCGACACCAGGTGGTATGGAAATGGAAGATCCACCTGCAGAACCTGAAGCTGAGGAGTGAGTTATAATTTGAATAATTGACATATAACTTTGCATTAGCCGTGGCGACACTTCTCCCCGTGGACCACCTACTGCAAAGAACCCCAAAATAGGCCATAGTTAAATCAAATAAAATTGAAGTAATTAATATATTTCGTGTTTTAAGGCGTTAAAAGTGTTTTAGATTTATTGTTATAAGGTACTAGTTTTTCTTGCCACTCGGTTTATGCAGGCAAAGCGCGATATTTTTACTCATTTTATATCCCTTTCATTGGCATCCGGTTTCAATAAAGTCCAAGTAAGGCTTGGCATGCAACAATGTGATAAACTGTACATTCTGCTATTGACTTTGTATTTGTGCTTTGTATCCAATATATCGGGCCTTAGGATTGATAAACTGTAAATAAGTTAATGTAATTCGATTTTAAACAGTTAAAAGTGTCAAATTTTAATCTTATAATGTAATTTGCAGAACAACTGAAGCGCCCGAAGAGAACGCATTTGACGCGGAAACCTTCTTAGCTAGCGTTTATCAAACTGCAGAGCAAGGTGTTGCGCTTCTCAGTAGTCTTTTAGACATACCAATTAAACGCAACTCAACAACCACCGTCGCTCCCCCCACCACATCAGAAGCATCTCAGAGAAGAGGCCCAAAGAACCTCAAACATCCTAACCAATTGTGATAATTGAATTTTATTAAGTACAAATGCAGCATTTCGTAGTTGTAGTATTAGGCTTGCCAAGCTCTCTCAGATCCGAAGTAACACTTCTTGTCCTATTTATTGCTTTAATGTTCGCTAGGTATAATAATAAACATGTTAAATGTTCAACTTGTTTATTTTCACGTCTTTCAACCTTTATTCAACCTTGGGAGTATGGTGGATCCGCGTTGGTTTCTAAGAAGTAGACGCCGGCGTTACTGAAAACAATATGAACAGTATAGAATAAAATATAGTGGTGCCAGGTAAAAATTGAAAATATTGCATTCCTTTAAAGTACATAATATATATGTACATAATGTATAATATAATATATAATCTTTGGCGGTATTATGCACTGGAAAGGTTGTCTTGCACTCTTAACATTAACCTTAACATAGGTGAGGTTCTCTTGCATTCTGAGCTTAGCCAAAATACGTGTAAACCATTCTTACAAACAAAGACCGTCATCAATAGAATTATATTTTAACACATTCGAAGCTTGCAGCCATTTTTATCAAGCATTTCCTATTTAAAGTCCTCGTTAAGACGCTTTTCTAGCTCAATTGTCAAATTTGATGGACTTGTTGTAATGTATGTAATGTATGGTTGATAACCGACGGGTTAATGGATTCGATCCCTACGGTGGCCAAAAAGTTTCTAACTAATTTATCGTTTTTCTAAAACGTGTTGAGCTTCGTCTGAAAATCTGAACATTTAACTTATTATTGAAAATTAAAAAGTTAATTGTAATTCTCAACACAAAAATGATACTCTAGGAATTAAATCTTACCCCGTTTTAGGTATCAAACCGCCCATCATCAGACGACCTGGGTGAAAATCGCACATTCTCAATAATGCAGCGTAGTAATTCAAGCATTCCCTTCCCGTAAAACCTCCAGATGTAATTGATTCAGCAAAATATAAGTAGCTCATCTCGTGGTCGCATTCGTTTGATTCGCAGCCCGGCATGGATATAGCACCGTTGAAATAAAAGTCCACTTGAGCCAAGTCTCCCAGATATCCATGTATGAAGTTGGTGTGGAGGACTTCCGTGTAAACGGCGTCGTTTGGAGACAAACGATCAACGTTATTAACCCAGCCGATGAGGGACGGATTCAATCCTGACAAAAGTAAATTTGAAAACTTTAATATTTTTCAAATGATTTCATTATATATATTAAAAATTGAATATATATCTATATAGTAGTATCTAATATCAAAATTCCGTTCCAGCCCTGAAGTTTTAAAGCGATTCGGTTTCGATCTGTGGATTTCGAATATCCAAAACCAAAATAGGACGACAGCGAATCTTTTTAATATGTTACTTGGCTGGGGTATTTCACCCAGAACCCATGGTTGTCTGTTCTCCTCTATCATAGGTCTCACCTGTTATATAACTGATTTGGCCATTTAAGTTCCTGCCAACGATGCCGGCTTGATGCCCACCAACGCCGTGACCGATAAGGTGGAATTGTTCGAGCGTCGAACCCCTCTCTTGGTTCAGCCATTCTATAAATCTGGCAACGGCTTGTCCCGATTTCACGGTGTTCCAATTAACAAGTCTATAATTCAAGGAGTTGGCTCCGATTGTCCAGTCAATAGCGATGACGTTGAGGTCCTCCACCGAAAGAAGGGCTAGGAATGTAAAACCAAATTTTTTAACGAGATTTTCCCTTTACTTTACAAGATAAGCGCGTTAAAGAATATTACTTTTTGCTGGTTGTATATACAGATAATAACACAACTTTATTAAAAACAATAATTGTAATTATATCTAAAAATTTAACCAAACATGACATGGGTCGTTGTATAATCGTAGCAATAATCTACATTAGGTTTAATTATCATTGGATCTACCGTGTTCCTCCAAAGCGATTTATAAAATTATTAAAATGGTTAACATAACCATTTTGGCATTGGGAAAATTTTCTATTTTACACTATAATTGTAGGATATTGATATTTTCTTCGGGTCAACCACTTTTAAATAAAAAAAAGTAAAATGTATAAACGTATTAATCTACGTTTTGGTTATAGTCTGTGGATTTTTAAATGTTCAAAAGCTTGTTGCTTTTGAAAGTTTTAGAGGTCGACAGCGCAGCCCGTTTGTATGTTATATGGTGTACGTATATATAACGTAAGTAAAATACTCCATCAAATCGACAAACTGAGAAAAGATACTAATAATTACAAACATATGACAATTGACAAAATGTTGCTTTGAAGAAATCGCCACGTGATAAAGACTTATATTACATATTTCTTATATACATCTCTTGTTTTTGAGTCATTGTATTATATATTTGTAAATTTCTCGGAGCAATATTAAAATCGTTATTTGGCATAACAAAATACGGACATAATATATACTTTATGCGTTTAAAGGTGTGAATCATTTTCAACTATTACCTGGCACCACAGCTCTGACAAAGTTTGATGTGGGCGATCCCATCGATCCATGGAAAAGAATGATTGTTCTTCGATTGCTATTGAAACTCGACTGAAGCAGTAGATTTGAATTTTTGTACATTATCGGTTGACTGATGGTTGGGTTAGTCCTAAAATTGGAAATATAGTCAGAAGAATTGGATTTGGTCCTGATCCAGTGTGAAAGAATAACAAGGGAAACTTTTCGTCATTACTTACCTTGTAAAGAGATGATATACATTGGTTACATCTGGATCGAAGCTGGCCGGATCATAAGTATCGCCTGAAGTCGCCTGGACGTCTGCTAACTGTATCTGTCTATTAGAATCTTTGGCATACTGGTAACGAAGACCTTCATCCAATTTTACATTTAAAGTTTCATGAGCTGGTAGAGCTTGAAAAATCAAATAAATATGTTAATGTTTATGGATTCCAATATCATTTTATGGGGCACAATCTGTCTGTCTGTTGTCTGTTTCATATTTTAATTTTAAAAACATCATCATCATCAATCATCATCATCAGTTCATCAGTTCTCTGGAAATGTTATCAAATTTCTCCCGGGAAATTTGATAACATTTGAAGCAATCCTTTTGCACCATAATTCATTTAATTTTAAACTTACCAGTGCTCAAAGCCGAAAAACCTAACACAATTAAAATTAGCTTCTTCATAATTATAAAAATGAATCAAATTTTCAGGAAATGCTATAGCCAAATGCGAAAACGAGTTGGTGATTAAATCATTACTTGATATCATTTCCTTATCTGACGGGATTATGAGATGTCATCAATAACAAAATAATAATATGTTTTATCAGTCGTAATCATTATTGAAATTATTTTATATCAATGTGTTTTCTAGAAAATTACTATTTTTCAACAGAGACAATTCGCGGAATGCCGGGTGTGGCCCTTAATGAGCATATTCTTACTATAATTATAAAATTTAAAATATTTGTTATACTTTACCATTTCTTAAGTTTTATAATATATAGGTGCACAATATAATAATACATAGAATGATTAGGCACACGCATTAACTTCAATGTCTCCCCTTATACATGTTGGCATTCTTTCAAAGGTATAATAAAAGAATCTTCATCAGTGGTACATTAGCATGTTCCATATTCAATAATAATACTAATGTATTTTTAATTAATTTCAAGCACTATAAAAATAATTAATTTGCAAATATTTAACAAACAAACATAACATAGTAGCCAAGCATAACCTATAAGTCCACTTCTGGACGTAGGCATCTTCGAAAGTGCGCTTCGTCTTTGTCTTCAGCTTTATTCATCCATTTGCTACCGTCTACTTTTTTCAGTTCGCAGAGCTGCTGGTCGTCCTGCAGTGCTGTTTCGTTCTTCGGCGGTTGACTTTGTTTCGAACTTTATACGGCAGATTGGGCATCTGCATGTAAGATTCTAAGTCTTGGCTTCGTACTATGTCATGACAAGTTAACATAACAGTAACTATAATTAATTACTAATAGTAATAACACTCGTAAGGCAAATACCATAGGTATAAAATATTTTTTTATTTTTCAGCATTCAGCTAAAAAAATGCTTATATTTTTTTAAATATTTCATAAATGATAAGGGAACGGCACTTTAAACAAGATAGAAAGTTTTTAAGGTGTGTTGTGATTTCTTGTCATATAATAATTTTTAGTAAAATCATAAATCTGATCTTTATTTCTTATAATAGTAAGCTAATTACCGTTTTACAGCGTCTATTACCGTTGTATTTAAGTTTTAATCTTTGATTTGAATCAAGGATATGGAATCAGATTAAAATCTTAAATACTTTTAGCGCGAATTGTTTATTTACAGGAATTTCCGGAAAATACTTTTAAAGATTGAATAACATTATCATTATGACAATATGTGTAGATGAAACGCTAAAAAAATATCGTCACATAACATTTAATTAAAAAAAATTGTGATTTAAAGAAAACGCAGATATTACTCATTTTATTTATCATTTTGTTGTATAAAAACTTTCAACATTTATCCCTGTGCGAATGGTTGTCGCACGTTTGTTGCAAAACTGTAGATTCCAGATACACTGAAAAATAAAACATAATTACTTATATCGCCGTGGATAATTAAGCGTAATATTTAATTAATAATTTGAAAACTAAAAACATGGTTGCCGAGAGTCATCTATAAGACAGACAGACATGTCTGCTGAAAAATGAAGAGGATGCGGGCTCTTTCGAGATGGCAGTGTGAATAATATTCTATATTTGCGTATTATTCGATTCCGAACGAAGAACTGCTTCTGTTTTTAAATATTATCCTATTAAAAACGTTACTTGAAATTAAAAATTTCAGGCTGGAAAGATGCAATTTCATTCAAGATGCACGAAATTTAGTTTGGTTTCATAACGGCAATTTTATTTTAATATCGTAATTATCACCTTTTATAAGATAATGTATTTAACAAGTAGTGATGAAAAAACTAACCATTTCTGATCTCTTACCAAACAGTTTGAAAAGGCTCAGTACAATTGTTGTGCGTTACTTGTTAATACATTTATTAATAAAATAAAATCTCACCCAGACTTTACAGCAATTCCACCAAAGGTAGCGTCGCGACTCCCAGTACATTTTTGCTCTACAGTCTCTTCATAAGACGCACATTTGGTACCGATGAACTTAGCGCCACCTTCTGTATCCGCATTGATCGATTCAGCATAGAACACATAAGCGTACGCGTGTGAACAGGGTGTGTTGTCTCCGCACATGGGCTGGGCCCGACCTCCATTGGCATAGAAGTCGACGTGACCCAATGGATCGCCGTAACCGTAATTGGTGGCGGTCGTATGTAATACTTCGACTAGATCTGCGTCATTCTTACTTAACTTGTTGGGGTTGAGACTCCAGCCTAATAATGGCGGGTCCAAAGCTGGAAAAGGTATAGATATATATAAACGTATAAAATTAATTGTAAAATACTTTGACTATACCTCATTCGTAAACAGTTATTTTTTTATGGGAGATTATAACCTTATCTGGATTTGGTCTCATCCCTCATTTCTTAGAATTTATTTACTCACCTACTATATGGGGAACGTTGCCCTTAATCTTGCGCGCTCCCACCCCAGCAGCATGGGCTCCTAGACCAACACCAACGATCCGAATCATGTTGGCGCTGTATCCGAAATTGTCGCTGAGGAGGTCGGCAAACTTGGCAATAAGGTCACCGAGTTGAGGTACATTTGCGACACCTGCTGAATACCCGAAAGAGCCGTGGCGCCAGTCAACAGCGAGGACGTTGACATTCTCTGCGGCGAGGTGAGCTGGAGAGATATTCATAATAGACAATTAAATTATATTTAGAATTAATGAAGAAGAATAAACTCTGTCTGTAGTTTAAGCGAGTCGTACACATTTACATAAAACACTTTAACGGTTTATTAGTTAAACTTATTTAAAAATTATTTTAACTACTTTCAGACGTTTCAGATGCTTTACAGCAGCCGTGGACACGGGGACGCAAATAAGTTTGTCTAATATATATCGCGTTTTCAACCGGTAAAGTGTTTGATTTAAAAGGAGGTGTATAAGTTAACATGAAAGATGCTTCAAAGGAATCTTATATGTATTGTATAGATTTAGCATTTTAAGATTCGATTGATACTTTCTTTGAGTAGAACCTTTGAAAGATTTAATATTTTCCACATGTGATCGCATAGTGCCAGTGCATAAATCGATTTTGTATTGAAAAAGTTTCACAACCACGGGCAGGCCTTGAACCGGCATTCACAGCGTTTCGTGCTGTTGCTCTAACAAATTCAGCTAGCGTAGAATCAGTAGAATCTATTGAAAACTTTCAGCACAAGGCAGAAACATACAAACACACATACACAAACCTTCTACTTATGTATAAATACATTTCAATGCATATACGTGAAATTGAAATCTTGTTAACCCCCATGGGGCACGGGACTAACACTACTGTGCAAAAAACAATCTATTGTTTCCCCCTGATTCGAACCCAGCATCTCTCGCTCTTTATGCAATGTTAGCATTACGTCTAACCAATTAACTACAGAGGCAGATTACATAAGTAATTAAACTAACTTAATTTGGAATTCAAGATATAAATTTTTACCTGGTACCACGAAAGCAGCGAAATTTCCTTCCACGTTATCTTCGTAGCTATGAATAGCTATTATAGTTTTGCGCGCGTTTGAAAATAATGACATTGATATCGACGCAATGGAAGGCAGTAGAGGCTGGCTTCTAGTGGGGTTGTCCCTGAAATAGATTGTTTGCTTATTTTAACATAATTTAAACGAGTAAGATGACGAGATACACATGTTCTATGTAAGTATTCGGCCTAGAAAAGCGTCGTCTATCCGTCGTCTCCGTTCAGGTATTTATAGGCCTTCATGGAGAAGAATGGTACGGTTTGGACCCAGCTGAGTCCATACAATATTATTTTTCTTTTACGATGGAGAACAGACATGCTTGGGGTTCACTAGATGGAAGGTGAAATACCATACCGATATGACATCTCAACCAGATGTGATGCCGGCCCATTTTAGCGTTTGTAATATATCCCGCGTTTTAAACAATTAAAATTGGTTTAAAACAATTAAAAGATTAAAATTTACCTTGTAAACAGATGGAATATCACATCGTTTTCTCTCATGGGAAACCCTTGCACTGAAATCAATTTATTAATATATAAAATAACTATCTGTGCCAGTGACTTCGTCCGCTTAGACTATTTATTTTGGGAATCTAAATTCGTTTCTGGAATCCTTTTATCTTTATAACTTAAGCTGGACCCTGACGGTTGTGAGTCCCTTCCCGTCGTTCTTACAAGTTCATCTTAAAAGATAGACATATAGAGTCGGGGATTTTTTTAGATCATTTAAAGAGGAATCATTCTTTTTTATATATTTTTTGGGTGTCTTCAACCGTTTTTGCAGCGTAAGCATCTAAAACCCACAGAGATAAAAAATTTCATCCGTTTTGTTCAGATTTCCTGCTGCATCTTCGCTTATACAGTTTATACAGTTACAGCACTATTTTATATTTTATGGTCTTCCTCGATAAATGCTCTAACCATCACAAAAAGAATTTTTCAATTCGAACCAGTAGTTCCTGAGATTAGCGTGTTTAAACAGACAAACTCTTCAGCTTTATATATTGGTATAGTTGCATTCAGCTAAATGTAGCATATATAATATAGGGATCGTAAACAAAACTGCGTCATCTTCCATAATATGCACGAGCAAGGATTCGAACTCTCTCCGTGCGGCTTTTCAAACACGACCAATAATAATGCAGAATCCATAATAACTTAGTTATCGCTATAGAGTTTTGTTTCTGTCATGAACATATTATATAGGATGCAATAGAAGGAAACAAAAAGTGGTTAATTTATTCGGTACATTCAAAAATTTAATTCTAAAGCTATATAGCAAGCCTACATATGGTATGTTAGACCAATAAGAAACAGAAATTACGACCCTTTTATCATAAGACATACAATCTAATTAATAATACCTCCTAGCCCATCATTTATAACACAACACGAGCAATTCTAGTACCTAAATTATTAGTTAATTATAATCTATAATATTTTGTCTGCGTGTCTTGTAAATTTAATTTTACTTTTTCAAACATATAATATTAGTCAATATGAATATCTGCTCCTGATAATATTATCACAAATTTGGTAAATCCACAGCCACCTTGAAAATTACGCTTATCGGTATAATCTCTAAAAATAATACTAATTTGTGATGTTTTTTTCTATTAATTAAATAGAAAAGCGTCGAATCAAATGTCAAAAATGTGCTATTGTATGTTTAGTAGTGTCTACCTGTAGATAAAACATGGCTTTAACAATGTCAAAGATGTTGCTAAAATTTTACCTTAATAGTTTTATATCTATCATACAAGGAACAAGCTGTGCCAACGAATATGTCCGCGTAGAATAGTCATTTTGGATATCAACATTTGTTTTTGCAATTGTATTAATTTTAGCTGTCAACCACGAAGTCGTAAGCGTCTCGTCGTTCTTGATAGTTATATTAAACGATAGACATAATACAAAGAGTTTGTTTTGTACATATTTTTTGTATATTTTGAACCGTTTTCGCAGCGCACGCAACAGAAAGACAAAGATGAATATTTTTCCCCGTTCTTTCCACGTTTCCCACTTAACCAGTAGTTCTTGAGTTTAGAGCGTTTAAACTCTTTAGCATTAAAATATTAGTATACTTAAGTCGTCTTTTATAGTTTTAATAAACAGCTTAAAACAATATCTACCTGCTAAAGCAGCGCTTAGGAAGAGTAAGCATCTAATCGTCCAGCTCATCGTCACTTGAATGTTGAAGACTACCAAAAATTATGATAAGAAGTAATTTTATACAGACTTAACCCGTTCGCTACAGATTGTTTACAATAAGACCTCATCGCTACCGTTCAGATACGAAGGGGAAATATATTATAATATTTAATGTCAGAAGCGGATAAGTGTCTAATGTAACAGAGTAAAATCACACATGTCATACCACCGTCAAGGTAAATTATTTGTTATTGTTATAAAAGTATATGGGTGTGTTTTTGACCAGCCTTCGAGCCTCTGAATTATTTGTTTGCATTCAAAGTGTTAATTTATCAACGAAAGAAACTTCTTGGAATAAATACTAAATTAGGACGACAATATAATTCTTATCTATATCATAAGTCGGTAGTATTAAAATATCTCTGATAGCTGCTTATTGATTAATGGATGGTGAAAATTTCCCGAGTATTTTAACAATATAGCGAAAAGACGTAGAATTTAATATTAGTATTCTTAGAGACAATTATATTACTTCTTTATTAAATGTCACACTTCTGATAAGAGAAAGTCATAGTCTTACCAACATAACGACGGCTAAAATTTTGTATATATGATAAAGTTTATAATGAAAGATGTCATTAGTAACTGGGCTTTAATTTTAGTGAAAATTACTTCTCGCAAACTCATCAAAACATTTATCCTTTTGCAAAAGGTTGTCGAACGTTTGTGGCGAAAGAATAGATTCCAGATTCCCTGAAACAAAAGTAAATTATTTTAAAATTTTATTATGATAGTTAGATCATTAATCATATACAGTGCGTAGCAGGTATTAAGCCATGTTAAATAGTAGAGCATCGTTTTTATACTCGTATACCAAGATTTGGCAAAATCAGTATAGACAAGTAAAAATTGTTGCTTTAGATACGAAGATAAGGATCTATCCTTAAGTAGTAAGTAAACTTACGAAGATTTGACAGCAATTCCACCGAATGTAGCATCACGGGTACCGTTGCAAGCTTGTGACGCAGTTTCTTCATAAGAGGCACACTTGGTACCAACGAATTTCTTAGCATTAGCTTCAGCATCCGCGTTGATTGACTCAGCATAATATATGTATGAATAGATGTGAGAACAGGTCAGGACGAGGTCTCCACACATTGGCTGGGACCGGCCACCGTTGGCATAGAAGTCGACGTGACCAAGAGGGTCGCCGTAACCGTAGTTAGTAGCAGTCGTGTGTAGGACTTCCACTAAGTTTGCGTCAGTTTTCAGCAATTTGTTGGGGTTGTGGGTCCAACCTAGGAGTGGTGGGTCAAGAGCTGAAAATATACACGTAATTAAGAATACCTGCTTGATTAGCTAGTCAAAAGAACTATTGAATGTTCGAGATGAATGATTCAAGAATTAGATTGGAAAGAATTATTGAATATTCGAGATGATTGATTCATCAGATTGGTAAATTTTAAAGTTAGTTTACTATTTACATATGTACCGTTACGCCCAGTTATATATCACAAACATAATTCTATTAAAGATGGCACATGCTGTGCGTTTGTGTACAGTTTATATATAAGGCACTCCAGCGCGTATCTCTATAGAGCATAAGAAGGATTTTTATGAAAGAGGAGTGCAGACCGGCATGGGGTTGGCTTGATGGTAGATGAAATACCCTAGCCATAGAACCTTTTAAACAAGGTGCGCTGTCCTCCAATAGGTCAATACTAAAAATAAGCTTCTTACCAACGATATGGGGAATATTTCCGACGATCCTTCTTCCAGCGACACCAGCAGCATGAGCACCGAGGCCGACACCGATAATACGGATCATATTGACGTTGTTTCCGAAATCATTAGTCAGGATGTTAACAAATCTGGCAACCAGTTCTCCGAGCTGAGGCACATTCGCGACTCCTGCTGAATACGCGAAGGAACCAAAGCGCCAGTCGACTGCGAGGAAGTTGACGTTTTCAGCGGCAAGGTGAGCTAGAAATTGGTTTAAATACGATCAATGTCTTGTAATATCTTCAACAACCGTTGTTGAAAGATCAGTAAGGGTGTACATAGTATTAGATCAATCTAAATACTGTCTGCAGTTTACGCGAGAAGCCGTCTCCCCCGTGACCACGGTTTAACTAATATATATCGAGTATGTAATTTTTTAAACGTTAAAGCGTTTTTATTTAAATACATCAATCTACATTTGAAAATTAGTGAGGATAACATATACTATTAATGAAAGTGCCATACTGTAATAATCTTTTAATAATTACCTGGAACAACGTGAGCGATAAAGTTTCCCTGGACATTTTCTCCAAAACTATGAAGGGCGATTATAGTTTTACGACTGTTTAAGAACCTCGACGTGGCTATTGATGGAATGGAGGGAAGGAGAGCTTGACTGGACGTTGGGTTGTCTCTGAAATGTTTAAGCCATAGCTATAATAACACTTTACTTGTGATAGAGAAGGAAAGACATGAATAGGGGTTCATTTGATGATAGGTCAAAACACCAGCTGTATGTTGCGTTGTTTGTGAATTTAAAAAAAAACTAAAAGAATGTTACAAGAGTTAAGTTTTTTCAATTTAATACTCGCAAAGGACACTAATACCTGGTTCTTTGGAGCTCGACAAAATATATGAAGCAACCAAAATTTCAGGTGTGTTACATGACCTACTAATAATATGGAAAAGATAAAAAGATATGGAAGTTCTTATGTAAAAGAATACTGTTATTATAAAATTAAAATTACCTTGTAAACAAATGGAATACAACTTGGTTCTCCCTCATAGGAAACTGCGCTGAAATCAAAAGTTGGTCTGTCATCACATGACATACTGTCTATAGTTTACGCGAGTAGTACACATTTTAATAAAACACTGTAACGGTTTAAAACGCGATATATTTTAGTTAAACTTATTTGAAAATGATTTTTAATTTCGACGCGACCGTGGTCGAAGTTACAGAAAAGTTACCGAAACCGTTACAGTGTTTTATTAAAATATGGATACATACTGTTTCCTTAATATTATTTTATATTTTTTCACATGAACACAGTATGTATATAGCATACTGATTATAAATAACACGTAATTCAAAATATATCGTTTGATTATCTTATATTGATTTAAGGTTATTTATCTGATTTAAATTTTAATTGAGAATTAAGGAATTTAACATATAAAATAATTTGTTCTCAGTACAATATACTACATGCGTTTGTAAAGTCAAAGTATACTTTTAATTACAAAGGCGTTAAGAAGACTGAAACACATCGGCGAGTATGCATACTCGTAAACCTTTTCAAACTTTGTTTCGTTTTAAATATTGTTGACTTAATATATACAACTGGTCATAATTGGTCGTACTTTTAATTTGAAGCTTCGTTAAGTATAAAATAATATGTACCTGCTGATGCAGCGCCTATAAGAAGAACACAGGTAATTGCCCAATTCATTGTCTCTTAGAAATTCAAAATAATCTACCGAAAAATATAGTATGAGGTAGCGTTATATATGTACATCTTATCGACGAAAGACTTCCTTCTTAAAACATATAAATCTTATCAATTATTACTCTTATCAGTATTGACCATCGCTTGGCGAACAATGTAATCAAGCGAATATAATAAGGTACCTATCACAAATACTATATTGGTATCTTTTTTATAACATAAATAGCAACTAGAATAAACAATGAACAAAAATTAAGATGCGCTTATCGCTAAAACCACTGCGTTTACCGAGAAGTTCTAAATTCAAACCTCGTGAAAACAATATACTACACTAACAATACACTAGCGCAGCTATGTTTCTCATCCACGCCTCTCACAGGGCCAAACATAATTTTAACTAAAACGACGTCACTCTTTTGCTCAATCATTCTAAATACTTTAAACCCCTTGATTGAAATTGCATTGACTAGCATTGCAAGCCAGGAACAAAGTTGCTTCAACCCCTTATCTGTGAACTAAATCGTTCATGGAAATGGGCCCAGTGTTTCCCCCCCATGCCCACAAAAGAAACAGGATGTTAAAAAAAACACCTAAAGCACACGGAAGCATAAAGATGCTTTGCTATGAAGCAGTATTTAAATAAAATACTATTAACGGTCTAAAACGCGAACTATATTGAACTTATGTACTATTTATTTTAACTACGACACGATGTTCCGGATGCTTTGGCTGGTTACGCGAGAGCTTTGAACCGTAATTGTTTAATAAAGATGCAGTAACCTGAAATATATCAAAGAAATTCGTTATATAATTGTAATGAAATTTTGGCCACAACATTTTATTTAATCATTATCAATTACTAGTCGTTTATAAGTGAGTGTCGAGTGATCGTGTTGACGGGATTCCGTTTGTAAACAGTTAAAAAACCTACATTTACAGCTGTTATTTTAAAACTACCCACAAAATGTTTCGTATCAGCTGAATTTGAGATACTGTAAACATACATTAAACACCTAACTTTCCAACAAAATACTCACGATTCATAACGATCACTCACGTCCATATATGTTTTTTTAAATTATTTCATAATATTTCAACAATTTTTGGGATTTAAAAACTTAAAATAAAATACTGCCTAAAAACATCTGTCCTAGTCATATTTCCATCAACATTATCTCATACGAATCGATTATTCAACGTTTTATAAAAGTCAATAATCGATTATGTACACAAAAAAATTTAAAGACTAAAGACGTAACTCTGTTTTCATTGTAACTATTTCGCCTAAAAACCTGTAATCTTAAAAGGAAAATTTAACAAGAACGGTAAGTATGGAAAATCTTGTAAAATGCATGAAATTGAAAAATTGCTTAAACATAGTACAACTAACGAAGCTGTGTTTGAGAAGCGTGCTATGTTTAGTTAGTTAGTTTAGTGCTGTAATAAGAATTAAAAAAATCTTTTTTTAATAATTTATTTAAATGCGGCCACTCTGCGCCACATTTTTATTGCCTAGAATTTTTTTTCTAAAACCTTTTTTTCTCCTTTTTTTTCTTTTACCCCAAAATGGTTTTTTTAAAATTGGGGTCCTTTTTAAGGGGGGGGGGGGGGGGGGGGGGGACCCCCAAAAAAACCCCCCCCCCCCCCCCCCCCCCCCCCCCCCCCCCCCCCCCCCCCCCCCCCCCACAACCCCCCCCCCCCCCCCCCCCCCCCCCCCCGGGGGGGGGGGGGGGGGGGGGGGGCCCCCCCCTTTTTTTTTTTTCCCCTTTCCCCCCCCCCCCCCCCCCGAGTGGCTAAAGATGTGTAAGGTCTAGCGTTATCATCGTGAAGAACCATATTCCTTCCGTTGATTAATTCCGGCCTTTCCACTAATTTAATCTTATCAGTTATTCCTAGCATAGTTCAGAATCGATGATGCTATCCATGCGATTCTACCGTGGATACAGGTTTTGCCACAATCTGTGAAGCCTTACTGACCTTTGCCCACGATCGTACACTGAATTATAGTACTAAATCCGATCATAACATTTTTTCCGCGGCTTGTATTTCTTTTAAATAAAACACTTTAACGGTTTAAAACGCGATGTATTAGTTAAACTTATTTGAAAACGATTTTTAAATTCGGCCCGACGTTTCGGATGCTTTGCAGCAGCCGTGGTCACAGGGAGACTAAAGATGGAGGATGTCTCTGCCGTCAAAGTAAAAAAGTTGCTACGCTAGCGCCATCTGTTCCGTCGAAGTTGGTATTTGGCGAAACTGGCCGGATCCTTGCAGAATTTACTAACGGTGTCATCGCGTTTGCCGGTATGCTGTTTATTGGGATCCAGAGTTTTTAATATGGGATACCAGGTGTTTGATAATTTGAGGCCGTCTTTCCTATTGAAATTTCGGTGTTTTATGATTTCAATCGCTAATCTTGAAAAAAATCGACTCTCCTTTGCGAGGAGTTTTGGCTGATCACAGCGAATGTAATGATTGGGCCCTTCCGATGAGTGTTGGTATACCGCAGATTTGGAGAGACGTTTATGTTTTATATTCGCGACGTGTTCTTTAATTCTGTTTCAGATGCTACGCTTTGTTTGGCCGATGTAGGATAGGCCACAATCACAATCCAGTCTGTAAACGCCTGCATCTTGTAAAGGGATAGTGCACTTGTTTGGTTTCAGGAATTGCTGAATCTTCTTGTGCGGTTTAAAAATCCTGATTTTTTTAACAATTAAGTTTGGTGGAAATTAATGCATTATAGTAAATTATTTGTTAGAGTTAATAAGTAAGTTTTAAGGTCACATAAAAAGGGATCCTGCATACTTTTTATGTATTCAAGTTTTAAATATTTCACCAAATAATAAGAGCAGAATAAAATGACACTTGTACGAGTACTCTTAATTAATTTTCTTCGGCATAAGAGCGCCTGAAATAAAATAAAAACAATTTCACATCTCACTTTTTTTTCAAAGTGATTTACGACAGGGGTTTTTTTTATTTGTCGACCTTTTATCAGCACTGCTATGACTCTTTGTTCCTATCTCCATTGTGTCCGGTGGAAATTCATTTTAAGTACTACAAGGACAGCTAAGCACAGCGTTCACTTGATGGAAGGTGAAATACTCTAGCCATATGGCATCTTATCAAGATCAACTGTCGACGTATTTAGGTTTTGGATATACGTTAATCCACAGACTGAAATCGAAGTGCGACTTAATTTCACGGGTTTTTCACCTGTTACGAAAGAGAAACTTCGATGTTTCTACCACCCATTTAATATATACATGTCCAGATGACAGATTTAACATGTAAATGGATTAAACATTTTTTGGACTGCTGGAGATCGAACCCACGACCCGTTGTTCACTAGCCATACATAGCTGCATTACACCAACGAGTCCTACTATAATTTTTCCAGTAATCATAAATCTACCTACCTAAAGTGACCAATTTATGTTCAGAATCCCAGGTTTGTCCAAAATGTGTTTAAAAGCTCCATATATGTTTCCAAAGAGAACAGGAAAAGGCAGTTTTCCTTCTGGGAACCAAGCAGAAAATATTTGACTTAGAATTTATACCGGTAATGGTTTATTACAGCTACTGAAAAAGTAACTTTGAAGATACGTCATCAAAACGAAGAATTTGATTACGCCCATGTACCGATCCAATCGCATAATACTTTTTAAAATCAGTAATGACTTCACGTATTGTTAAAAAAATACACACATATAATGCAAAAAATGATTTTGCAATCATTTTTCTATAAGTAATTATTAATCAACCGAGTTGTTATTTTCACAAGAAGCTAATCAAAGGATTATCATTGACTTTTCTTTATCAAATTAGAAGCTTATCAATTTTAATTAATAATAATCAGGAATAATCATTAAATTACGTTCGTTTGGGTGTAGTGGCGATGAAAACTATGTTTCAATAATAGATGAAAATAAAAAATATTCTGAAATCTGACTAATAATTTAAAAATCGAAAATAAAAAGAAATTTTTTTCGAGTCGGCCAGGACTTGAACCTTCATAATTCCGTGCTGTTGCTACCAATTAAGCTACTGAGTCGCCAATTGAGCTACCAACTCAAGCTTAAGAAATCATTTACGATGAAATCACAAAGTTATAACGTTTGAAAAGCACGCGTTAACGTTGGTAGAGCAACAGCACGGAACGCTGACGATGCTAGTTCAAGTCCTGCCCGAGTCGAAAATCGACTATAGACAGTATTTAACATAGGCATAACTTTTTATTGCGAAAAGAGGGTTGTAAGGGGTAAAAAGGGGGGGTGAAAGTTTGTATGGAAACTCGTGGTTTCTGAAGATAGAACAGTGAAACTTTCTTTTTTTGGCTTTTTGAGAATAGGAGTGGGACTGGGAGTTAGAGTAGGAGTGATGTGAGACGAGACATAAATAAATTACAAAATACAGCTACATAAATTAAGAAACAGCCTAAATAATTAAAAATTCTACCCCAAGTCACTATCCCACGCAAACGAAGTCGCGGGCACAGATAGTAATTAATAAATACTCATTTCGTAAACTTTAATATTTTTCACATAATGCAACTACCTATATTAATTAAAAATCAACAATCAAGATTTTTAATTTCTCTCTTCGTATAATTACATTGAAATGTTAAAATATTATCCCCTAGATAAAGTTGTTTAAAAAACATTAATCTATCAAAACATCTGATGTATATCAAGTAAGTTATCAATTAACAGAAGATAAAGTTAAGTACAGGCCGGCTGAAGAAGGTTGACGTCAGCTCGCTTTTTGTCTAATGAAACGCGTCCCATGTATTGAAAAATTAATCTGTACGCCTGTTTGTCACGCGCGCTCATCTTCCAAATTGACTGCCCTGAACCTGTTCTAGGTGCAGTAGCCTTTGTTTTATTGAAAATTGCCTTCAAAATAATAGCAATTTTCATTTACCTCTAGTAAAATGAAATAAATGGAGTTAAATTGAGTTTATCTACCCTTTTGTTTAATTTTAAATACATGCTTACATTATAAACTATTTATATCTACATATACGAGGTCGCCCTAGAAAGCTTCGTATGTCCAAAGTCATATAGGTCGACAGCGCAAATGAATAAGATTTAGGTGGTATTCCACATTCTATCAAGTGTTGTGCATTCTCGCCTAATGCAATCTGTTATTAGTAAACCAGTTATTTATAATATTAGCTGTTATACCATTTTTATAGTAAAAATAATGAAACTCAACAGTTTCACATAATTTTTGTACGATATTAACGTAAACAATTTTGTCTAACCATACCGGAAGTGTGTCAGTGTGGTCCATACTCAACATATTAAAAGAGGATTTCTGTGGGAATTTGGTAATACGAACGGGCTATGCTTGAGACATAGACAATAGACATCTTTGGACTTTTTTGTCTATGTTGTACAATATTGTATTAAATTATGTTTGTATGTCAGGTTCAAGTAACACGGAATAAACAAAGAAATTTACTATATCATAGTATCTTAGTATTTAATACATATAAACCTCCTCTAGAATCGCTTAAGAATCTGTTGCGTAGTTTTTTGATATACACACTAACAGACGGCGACACTTACTTTAAGTAATAGTTATACTGATAATTATAGGATTTCCTCGCATATATTTTTCTGAAAGAAACTTAAATTCGGAATTAAAAGTCCCTCTACTTTGCTCCAATCTCTCTAATCCAATAATGATAATAAATCTGCCCCTCTGAGATAATGATAATATTAAAATTGGGTATTATATTGTACTATCTCATAAGATATACATAGGAGGAATAAAAATTTAGATAAGATATAAACTTGAATATAAAGAAAGGGATGGGATTGCATTGTACACTTGCCCTACCACTCCTCCATTATGAGAGTCTTCGTAATTTTGGTCGCATGCGCAACCTGTGAGTCGAAATCGCATCATGATCTTTCTAGTCATCTATATAAATAACTTTATTTTATATGTAATCTTTTTCAGTAACTGCTGGTAGTGCAATTCCGTCAATACCAGGGGATAATAGCCATTATGTGGAAGGTGAAAGCCGCTACATTTGGATGCCCGACGGTGAAGGTGTTCCGCATCTCGTCGATCTACACCAGCCAGCTGATGAAGCCTTCTTGAATTCAAGAAACGGAAACAACAACCAATATTGGCTATTCACCAGGTGCAGTATAAGCTAAATTCTTAATTTATTAAAATCGAATACTGTCTATAGTTTACGCGAGTAGTACACATTTAAATAAAACACTTTAACGGTTTAAAACGCGATATATTAGTTAAACTTATTTGAAAATGATTTTTAACTTCGGCCCGACGTTTCGGATGCTTTGCAGCAGCCGTGGTCACGGGGAGACTAAAGATGGAGGATGTCTCAGACGTCAAAGTAAAGAATTGCTACGCTAGCGCCATCTGTTCCGTCGAAGTTGGTATTTGGCGAAACTGGCCGGGTCCTTACAGAATTGACTAACGGTGTCTTCGCGTTTGCTGGTATGCTGTTTATTGGGATCCAGAGTTTTTAATATGGGATCCCAGGTGTTTGATAGTTTGAGGCCGTCCTCCCTATTGAAATTTCGGTGTTTTTTGATTTCAATTGCTTCGCGTACCAATCTTGGAAAAAATCGACTCTCCTTTGCGAGGATTTTTGGTTGGTCAAAGCGAATGTAGTGATTGGGCCCTTCTGATGAGTGTTGGCATACCGCAGATTTGGAGAGACGTTTATGTTTTATATCCGCGACGTGTTCTTTAATTCTGTTTGAGATGCTACGCTTTGTTTGGCCGATGTAGGATAGGCCACAATCACAATCCAGTCTGTAAACGCCTGCATCTTGTAAAGGGATAGTACACTTGCTTGGTTTCAGGAATTGCTGAATCTTCTTGTGCGGCTTGAAAATTGTGTCAATAGAAGCTCGATTTAGGACTCTGCTAATTCTATCTGTAACTCCCTTCACATATGTTATGTTAAATTTATTAAACAAAGGACTAAATTTTGCTCCGGCGCCGCGAAAAATACCTTGCGAAGAGATAATCAGCTACGTCGAGGAAAGCATCTTCAAAAATGTCATCCCTAAGGAAGATGCGGAAGCAATACGGCAGGATATATCCTGTATCCTACGCTCCAGCAAGCCGCCTAAACACAATCTTTCCCTAGCGGAGTCGACTGCTCTCAAACAACTAAGAGCGAATGAAGATATTATAGTACTGCGTGCTGACAAGGGAAACGCCACGGTCGTGATGGATACGTCGGACTATAAACAAAAGATGTCGGAAATACTTGATGACGACGCGGTTTACAACAAGGTTGCAAAGGACCCCACAACCAAAGTAATGAAAAAGACGTCGGAACTTATTAACAAGTACAAAACGACTCTAAACCTCGACGCCAAACATCTCATCACAGCCTGCCCGAAGCCACCTAAAATGTACGGGTTACCTAAAATTCATAAATTAAACAATCCCTTACGTCCAATAGTTAGTCAAATAGATTCGCCCACTTATAAACTAGCAAAACACTTATCCAGAACACTTGCCCCCCTCAGGGGAAATACAAATGCTCACGTCAGGGATTCGTATCAGTTTGTAGAAACTATTAAAGGTCTAAAGGTAGCGGACAATGAGGTTATGGTAAGCTTTGACATCACATCACTCTTTACAAACTTACCTATAGCTGATTGTATCAAAATTATTAAGAGCAAACTTATTAAACACAACATGCCTATAGAATATGCGGATATCTTAGAACATTGCTTGACAACCGGGTACCTACTTTGGAATGGGGATTTCTATGTTCAGGTAGATGGGGTAGCCATGGGTTCTCCAGTTTCACCCTTAGTTGCTGACATTTTTATGGAAGACTTTGAGGAGAGAGCCCTTGCTTCTTCCCCGGTTAAACCTAAGCTTTACAAGCGATACGTAGATGATACCTTCACCATCTTACCCAAAGCACAAGTATCTGCATTTCTTACACACCTTAACTCAATTCACAATAACATTAAGTTTACAATGGAACAGGAGGACAATAACACACTACCTTTCTTAGACATTTTAGTAATTCGTGATGAACACGGTAATATTGGGCATACCGTCTTTAGAAAAACAACCCATACAGATAGGTATTTGAACGGTGACTCACATCACCACCCCAGCCAACTTAGTTCTGTCGGAGTATCTTTGTTTCAGAGAGCCCGCCGTCTCTGTGATGCTGCCCACTTAAATGAGGAGTTACAGCATGTCAAGCAGGTCCTATGCAAGAACAAGCTGAGAGTCCCTCCGCAGCATCCCAGGAACAGGAACAAGCCACCCACAGTCAAACGTCAGCCCGCCTACCTACCATATGTGAAGGGAGTTACAGATAGAATTAGCAGAGTCCTAAATCGAGCTTCTATTGACACAATTTTCAAGCCGCACAAGAAGATTCAGCAATTCCTGAAACCAAGCAAGTGTACTATCCCTTTACAAGATGCAGGCGTTTACAGACTGGATTGTGATTGTGGCCTATCCTACATCGGCCAAACAAAGCGTAGCATCTCAAACAGAATTAAAGAACACGTCGCGGATATAAAACATAAACGTCTCTCCAAATCTGCGGTATGCCAACACTCATCAGAAGGGCCCAATCACTACATTCGCTTTGACCAACCAAAAATCCTCGCAAAGGAGAGTCGATTTTTTCCAAGATTGGTACGCGAAGCAATTGAAATCAAAAAACACCGAAATTTCAATAGGGAGGACGGCCTCAAACTATCAAACACCTGGGATCCCATATTAAAAACTCTGGATCCCAATAACAGGATCCCCCACAAAACGCAAAAACCCCCTTGTTAATCCTTGGGGAAGCCCGCCAAGGCCCCCCCACCCACCCCCCCGCCGGCCCCGGCGGGGCCGGGCCCACACAACTTTCTTTTTTCTTTGGGCCCCCCCCCCCCATACCCCCCCCCGCGCCCCCCCCCCCCCCGCCCCCACCCCCACCCCCCCCCGCCATATAAAAAAAATTCAAATAAAAATTTCACAAAAAAATCTTTTTTTTCCCCCTTATATATTTTTTTTAAAATTTTTAAAAAAAATCGATTAAAAATTAAAAAAAAAAACGACATTTGCCATGTCGTTTTTTTTTTGATCTAACCAATTGAGCTCAATTAGTTAGATCAACAGCACGAAACATTGTGGATGCAGATTCAAGTCTCCAATTTATAATTGATGTTAAATTTATATAGTGCTATCGTGTGCACAGACGTGAGAAATATTGAACTTTTTGAATTCTTAATAAGTTCCATTATGAATTAAAAAATAAAAAAGTTTAAAATCGAAAATTAATTGAAAAATATTTCGACTCGGACAGGACTTCGTCAGCGTTCCGTACTATAGCTCTAACCAATTAAGTTTTCGTTGTCGATTTTTTTTCTATTTATTTTCGATTTTTAAATAAATTACTGCCGTCATCGCGTTTGCCGGTATGCTGTTTATTGGGATCCAAAGTTTTTAATATGGGATCCCAGGTGTTTGATAATTTGAGGCCGTCCTCCCTATTGAAATTTCGGTGTTTTATGATTTCAATCGCTAATCTTGGAAAAATCGACTCTCCTTTGCGAGGATTTTTGGCTGATCAAAGCGAATGTAATGATTGGGCCCTTCCGATGAGTGTTGGTATACCGCAGATTTGGAGAGACGTTTATGTTTTATATTCGCGACGTGTTCTTTAATTCTGTTTCAGATGCTACGTTTTGTTTGGCCGATGTAGGATAGGCCACAATCACAATCCAGTCTGTAAACGCCTGCATCTTGTAAAGGGATAGTGCACTTGTTTGGTTTCAGGAATTGGTGAATCTTCTTGTGCGGTTTGAAAATCCTGTCAATAGAAGGTGACTCACATCACCACCCCAGCCAACTTAGTTCTGTCAGAGTATCTTTGTTTCAGAGAGCCCGCCGTCTCTGTGATGCTGCCCACTTAAATGAGGAGTTACAGCATGTCAAGCAGGTCCTATGCAAGAACAAGCTGAGAGTCCCTCCGCAGCATCCCAGGAACAGGAACAAGCCAAACAGTCAAACGTCAGCCCGCCTACCTACCATAATATGTGAAGGGAGTTACAGATAGAATTAGCAGAGTCCTAAATCGAGCTTCTATTGACAGGATTTTCAAATCGCGTAAACTATAGACGGCTTGTATTTCATTATTCCTTTATTGTAGTTCAATTTTAAAATATGTTTAATTTAGCCACCACATTTTTATGAGTTTGTTTGTTTTGTTTACCTAAGGGACTACTCGTTCGAATCCAATAATTGTATAATTGTAAATGCGCTAGATAGACCACTTATCGAAGAAGACTATATATTATTTAACATCATGTAAAGAAACAGTTAAAAATGTGGAATGTTTTTTTTTCATCTTTGAGAGCTTCCGTTGCATTTGTAATGAAAGCAACCAAAAATATACGTCTGTATTCTGAGAATTATCTCGCAAGAGCTGCTTTTATAACAATCAAGTTTGGTTGAAACTAATGCATTATAGTAAATTATTTGTTAGAGTTAATAAGTAAGTAAGTAAGTTTTAAGGTCACATAAAAAGGGTTCCTCAATACTTTTTATGTATTCAAGTTTTAAATATTTCACCAAATAATAAGAGCAGAATAAAATGACACTTGTACGAGTACTGTTAATTAATTTTTCTCGGCATCAGAGCGCCTGAAATAAAATAAAAACAATTTCACATCTCACTTTTTTTTCGAAGTGTTTTACGACAGGCGTTTCTTTGATCCGTCGAGCTTGTTCATATCAGCACTGCTATGACTCTTTGTTCCTATCTCCATTGTGTCCGGTGGAAATTTCTTTTAAGTACTACAAGGACAGCTAAGCACAGGGTTGACTTGATGGAAGGTGAAATACTCTAGCCATATAGGATCTTAACAAGATCAACTGTCGACGTATTTAGGTTTTGGATATACGTTAATCCACAGACTGAAACGGAAGTGTGATTTAATTTCACGGGTTTTTCACCTGTTACGGAAGAGAAACTTCAATGTCTCTACCACCTATTTAATATACATATCCAGATGAAATTTAACATGTAAATGGATTAGAAACTTAGGACTGCTGGAGATCGAACCCACGACCCGTTGTTCACTAGCCATACATAGCTGCATTACACCAACGAGTCCTACTATAATTTTTCCAGTAATCATAAATCTACCTACCTAAAGTGACCAATTTATGTTCAGAATCCCAGGTTTGTCCAAAATGTGTTTAAAAGCTCCATATATGTTTCCAAAGAGAACAGGAAAAGGCAGTTTTCCTTCTGGGAACCAAGCAGAAAATATTTGACTTAGAATTTATACCGGTAATGGTTTATTACAGCTACTGAAAAAGTAACTTTGAAGATACGTCATCAAAACGAAGAATTTGATTACGCCCATGTACCGATCCAATCGCATAATACTTTTTAAAATCAGTAATGACTTCACGTATTGTTAAAAAAATACACACATATAATGCAAAAAATGATTTTGCAATCATTTTTCTATAAGTAATTATTAATCAACCGAGTTGTTATTTTCACAAGAAGCTAATCAAAGGATTATCATTGACTTTTCTTTATCAAATTAGAAGCTTATCAATTTTAATTAATAATAATCAGGAATAATCATTAAATTACGTTCGTTTGGGTGTAGTGGCGATGAAAACTATGTTTCAATAATAGATGAAAATAAAAAATATTCTGAAATCTGACTAATAATTTAAAAATCGAAAATAAAAAGAAATTTTTTTCGAGTCGGCCAGGACTTGAACCTTCATAATTCCGTGCTGTTGCTACCAATTAAGCTACTGAGTCGCCAATTGAGCTACCAACTCAAGCTTAAGAAATCATTTACGATGAAATCACAAAGTTATAACGTTTGAAAAGCACGCGTTAACGTTGGTAGAGCAACAGCACGGAACGCTGACGATGCTAGTTCAAGTCCTGCCCGAGTCGAAAATCGACTATAGACAGTATTTAACATAGGCATAACTTTTTATTGCGAAAAGAGGGTTGTAAGGGGTAAAAAGGGGGGGTGAAAGTTTGTATGGAAACTCGTGGTTTCTGAAGATAGAACAGTGAAACTTTCTTTTTTTGGCTTTTTGAGAATAGGAGTGGGACTGGGAGTTAGAGTAGGAGTGATGTGAGACGAGACATAAATAAATTACAAAATACAGCTACATAAATTAAGAAACAGCCTAAATAATTAAAAATTCTACCCCAAGTCACTATCCCACGCAAACGAAGTCGCGGGCACAGATAGTAATTAATAAATACTCATTTCGTAAACTTTAATATTTTTCACATAATGCAACTACCTATATTAATTAAAAATCAACAATCAAGATTTTTAATTTCTCTCTTCGTATAATTACATTGAAATGTTAAAATATTATCCCCTAGATAAAGTTGTTTAAAAAACATTAATCTATCAAAACATCTGATGTATATCAAGTAAGTTATCAATTAACAGAAGATAAAGTTAAGTACAGGCCGGCTGAAGAAGGTTGACGTCAGCTCGCTTTTTGTCTAATGAAACGCGTCCCATGTATTGAAAAATTAATCTGTACGCCTGTTTGTCACGCGCGCTCATCTTCCAAATTGACTGCCCTGAACCTGTTCTAGGTGCAGTAGCCTTTGTTTTATTGAAAATTGCCTTCAAAATAATAGCAATTTTCATTTACCTCTAGTAAAATGAAATAAATGGAGTTAAATTGAGTTTATCTACCCTTTTGTTTAATTTTAAATACATGCTTACATTATAAACTATTTATATCTACATATACGAGGTCGCCCTAGAAAGCTTCGTATGTCCAAAGTCATATAGGTCGACAGCGCAAATGAATAAGATTTAGGTGGTATTCCACATTCTATCAAGTGTTGTGCATTCTCGCCTAATGCAATCTGTTATTAGTAAACCAGTTATTTATAATATTAGCTGTTATACCATTTTTATAGTAAAAATAATGAAACTCAACAGTTTCACATAATTTTTGTACGATATTAACGTAAACAATTTTGTCTAACCATACCGGAAGTGTGTCAGTGTGGTCCATACTCAACATATTAAAAGAGGATTTCTGTGGGAATTTGGTAATACGAACGGGCTATGCTTGAGACATAGACAATAGACATCTTTGGACTTTTTTGTCTATGTTGTACAATATTGTATTAAATTATGTTTGTATGTCAGGTTCAAGTAACACGGAATAAACAAAGAAATTTACTATATCATAGTATCTTAGTATTTAATACATATAAACCTCCTCTAGAATCGCTTAAGAATCTGTTGCGTAGTTTTTTGATATACACACTAACAGACGGCGACACTTACTTTAAGTAATAGTTATACTGATAATTATAGGATTTCCTCGCATATATTTTTCTGAAAGAAACTTAAATTCGGAATTAAAAGTCCCTCTACTTTGCTCCAATCTCTCTAATCCAATAATGATAATAAATCTGCCCCTCTGAGATAATGATAATATTAAAATTGGGTATTATATTGTACTATCTCATAAGATATACATAGGAGGAATAAAAATTTAGATAAGATATAAACTTGAATATAAAGAAAGGGATGGGATTGCATTGTACACTTGCCCTACCACTCCTCCATTATGAGAGTCTTCGTAATTTTGGTCGCATGCGCAACCTGTGAGTCGAAATCGCATCATGATCTTTCTAGTCATCTATATAAATAACTTTATTTTATATGTAATCTTTTTCAGTAACTGCTGGTAGTGCAATTCCGTCAATACCAGGGGATAATAGCCATTATGTGGAAGGTGAAAGCCGCTACATTTGGATGCCCGACGGTGAAGGTGTTCCGCATCTCGTCGATCTACACCAGCCAGCTGATGAAGCCTTCTTGAATTCAAGAAACGGAAACAACAACCAATATTGGCTATTCACCAGGTGCAGTATAAGCTAAATTCTTAATTTATTAAAATCGAATACTGTCTATAGTTTACGCGAGTAGTACACATTTAAATAAAACACTTTAACGGTTTAAAACGCGATATATTAGTTAAACTTATTTGAAAATGATTTTTAACTTCGGCCCGACGTTTCGGATGCTTTGCAGCAGCCGTGGTCACGGGGAGACTAAAGATGGAGGATGTCTCAGACGTCAAAGTAAAGAATTGCTACGCTAGCGCCATCTGTTCCGTCGAAGTTGGTATTTGGCGAAACTGGCCGGGTCCTTACAGAATTGACTAACGGTGTCTTCGCGTTTGCTGGTATGCTGTTTATTGGGATCCAGAGTTTTTAATATGGGATCCCAGGTGTTTGATAGTTTGAGGCCGTCCTCCCTATTGAAATTTCGGTGTTTTTTGATTTCAATTGCTTCGCGTACCAATCTTGGAAAAAATCGACTCTCCTTTGCGAGGATTTTTGGTTGGTCAAAGCGAATGTAGTGATTGGGCCCTTCTGATGAGTGTTGGCATACCGCAGATTTGGAGAGACGTTTATGTTTTATATCCGCGACGTGTTCTTTAATTCTGTTTGAGATGCTACGCTTTGTTTGGCCGATGTAGGATAGGCCACAATCACAATCCAGTCTGTAAACGCCTGCATCTTGTAAAGGGATAGTACACTTGCTTGGTTTCAGGAATTGCTGAATCTTCTTGTGCGGCTTGAAAATTGTGTCAATAGAAGCTCGATTTAGGACTCTGCTAATTCTATCTGTAACTCCCTTCACATATGTTATGTTAAATTTATTAAACAAAGGACTAAATTTTGCTCCGGCGCCGCGAAAAATACCTTGCGAAGAGATAATCAGCTACGTCGAGGAAAGCATCTTCAAAAATGTCATCCCTAAGGAAGATGCGGAAGCAATACGGCAGGATATATCCTGTATCCTACGCTCCAGCAAGCCGCCTAAACACAATCTTTCCCTAGCGGAGTCGACTGCTCTCAAACAACTAAGAGCGAATGAAGATATTATAGTACTGCGTGCTGACAAGGGAAACGCCACGGTCGTGATGGATACGTCGGACTATAAACAAAAGATGTCGGAAATACTTGATGACGACGCGGTTTACAACAAGGTTGCAAAGGACCCCACAACCAAAGTAATGAAAAAGACGTCGGAACTTATTAACAAGTACAAAACGACTCTAAACCTCGACGCCAAACATCTCATCACAGCCTGCCCGAAGCCACCTAAAATGTACGGGTTACCTAAAATTCATAAATTAAACAATCCCTTACGTCCAATAGTTAGTCAAATAGATTCGCCCACTTATAAACTAGCAAAACACTTATCCAGAACACTTGCCCCCCTCAGGGGAAATACAAATGCTCACGTCAGGGATTCGTATCAGTTTGTAGAAACTATTAAAGGTCTAAAGGTAGCGGACAATGAGGTTATGGTAAGCTTTGACATCACATCACTCTTTACAAACTTACCTATAGCTGATTGTATCAAAATTATTAAGAGCAAACTTATTAAACACAACATGCCTATAGAATATGCGGATATCTTAGAACATTGCTTGACAACCGGGTACCTACTTTGGAATGGGGATTTCTATGTTCAGGTAGATGGGGTAGCCATGGGTTCTCCAGTTTCACCCTTAGTTGCTGACATTTTTATGGAAGACTTTGAGGAGAGAGCCCTTGCTTCTTCCCCGGTTAAACCTAAGCTTTACAAGCGATACGTAGATGATACCTTCACCATCTTACCCAAAGCACAAGTATCTGCATTTCTTACACACCTTAACTCAATTCACAATAACATTAAGTTTACAATGGAACAGGAGGACAATAACACACTACCTTTCTTAGACATTTTAGTAATTCGTGATGAACACGGTAATATTGGGCATACCGTCTTTAGAAAAACAACCCATACAGATAGGTATTTGAACGGTGACTCACATCACCACCCCAGCCAACTTAGTTCTGTCGGAGTATCTTTGTTTCAGAGAGCCCGCCGTCTCTGTGATGCTGCCCACTTAAATGAGGAGTTACAGCATGTCAAGCAGGTCCTATGCAAGAACAAGCTGAGAGTCCCTCCGCAGCATCCCAGGAACAGGAACAAGCCACCCACAGTCAAACGTCAGCCCGCCTACCTACCATATGTGAAGGGAGTTACAGATAGAATTAGCAGAGTCCTAAATCGAGCTTCTATTGACACAATTTTCAAGCCGCACAAGAAGATTCAGCAATTCCTGAAACCAAGCAAGTGTACTATCCCTTTACAAGATGCAGGCGTTTACAGACTGGATTGTGATTGTGGCCTATCCTACATCGGCCAAACAAAGCGTAGCATCTCAAACAGAATTAAAGAACACGTCGCGGATATAAAACATAAACGTCTCTCCAAATCTGCGGTATGCCAACACTCATCAGAAGGGCCCAATCACTACATTCGCTTTGACCAACCAAAAATCCTCGCAAAGGAGAGTCGATTTTTTCCAAGATTGGTACGCGAAGCAATTGAAATCAAAAAACACCGAAATTTCAATAGGGAGGACGGCCTCAAACTATCAAACACCTGGGATCCCATATTAAAAACTCTGGATCCCAATAAACAGCATACCAGCAAACGCGAAGACACCGTTAGTCAATTCTGTAAGGACCCGGCCAGTTTCGCCAAATACCAACTTCGACGGAACAGATGGCGCTAGCGTAGCAATTCTTTACTTTGACGTCTGAGACATCCTCCATCTTTAGTCTCCCCGTGACCACGGCTGCTGCAAAGCATCCGAAACGTCGGGCCGAAGTTAAAAATCATTTTCAAATAAGTTTAACTAATATATCGCGTTTTAAACCGTTAAAGTGTTTTATTTAAATTATTAAAATCGATTAAAAATTAAAAAAAAAAACGACATTTGCCATGTCGTGTTTTTTTTGATCTAACCAATTGAGCTCAATTAGTTAGATCAACAGCACGAAACATTGTGGATGCAGATTCAAGTCTCCAATTTATAATTGATGTTAAATTTATATAGTGCTATCGTGTGCACAGACGTGAGAAATATTGAACTTTTTGAATTCTTAATAAGTTCCATTATGAATTAAAAAATAAAAAAGTTTAAAATCGAAAATTAATTGAAAAATATTTCGACTCGGACAGGACTTCGTCAGCGTTCCGTACTATAGCTCTAACCAATTAAGTTTTCGTTGTCGATTTTTTTTCTATTTATTTTCGATTTTTAAATAAATTACTGCCGTCATCGCGTTTGCCGGTATGCTGTTTATTGGGATCCAAAGTTTTTAATATGGGATCCCAGGTGTTTGATAATTTGAGGCCGTCCTCCCTATTGAAATTTCGGTGTTTTATGATTTCAATCGCTAATCTTGGAAAAATCGACTCTCCTTTGCGAGGATTTTTGGCTGATCAAAGCGAATGTAATGATTGGGCCCTTCCGATGAGTGTTGGTATACCGCAGATTTGGAGAGACGTTTATGTTTTATATTCGCGACGTGTTCTTTAATTCTGTTTCAGATGCTACGTTTTGTTTGGCCGATGTAGGATAGGCCACAATCACAATCCAGTCTGTAAACGCCTGCATCTTGTAAAGGGATAGTGCACTTGTTTGGTTTCAGGAATTGGTGAATCTTCTTGTGCGGTTTGAAAATCCTGTCAATAGAAGGTGACTCACATCACCACCCCAGCCAACTTAGTTCTGTCAGAGTATCTTTGTTTCAGAGAGCCCGCCGTCTCTGTGATGCTGCCCACTTAAATGAGGAGTTACAGCATGTCAAGCAGGTCCTATGCAAGAACAAGCTGAGAGTCCCTCCGCAGCATCCCAGGAACAGGAACAAGCCAAACAGTCAAACGTCAGCCCGCCTACCTACCATAATATGTGAAGGGAGTTACAGATAGAATTAGCAGAGTCCTAAATCGAGCTTCTATTGACAGGATTTTCAAATCGCGTAAACTATAGACGGCTTGTATTTCATTATTCCTTTATTGTAGTTCAATTTTAAAATATGTTTAATTTAGCCACCACATTTTTATGAGTTTGTTTGTTTTGTTTACCTAAGGGACTACTCGTTCGAATCCAATAATTGTATAATTGTAAATGCGCTAGATAGACCACTTATCGAAGAAGACTATATATTATTTAACATCATGTAAAGAAACAGTTAAAAATGTGGAATGTTTTTTTTTCATCTTTGAGAGCTTCCGTTGCATTTGTAATGAAAGCAACCAAAAATATACGTCTGTATTCTGAGAATTATCTCGCAAGAGCTGCTTTTATAACAATCAAGTTTGGTTGAAACTAATGCATTATAGTAAATTATTTGTTAGAGTTAATAAGTAAGTAAGTAAGTTTTAAGGTCACATAAAAAGGGTTCCTCAATACTTTTTATGTATTCAAGTTTTAAATATTTCACCAAATAATAAGAGCAGAATAAAATGACACTTGTACGAGTACTGTTAATTAATTTTTCTCGGCATCAGAGCGCCTGAAATAAAATAAAAACAATTTCACATCTCACTTTTTTTTCGAAGTGTTTTACGACAGGCGTTTCTTTGATCCGTCGAGCTTGTTCATATCAGCACTGCTATGACTCTTTGTTCCTATCTCCATTGTGTCCGGTGGAAATTTCTTTTAAGTACTACAAGGACAGCTAAGCACAGGGTTGACTTGATGGAAGGTGAAATACTCTAGCCATATAGGATCTTAACAAGATCAACTGTCGACGTATTTAGGTTTTGGATATACGTTAATCCACAGACTGAAACGGAAGTGTGATTTAATTTCACGGGTTTTTCACCTGTTACGGAAGAGAAACTTCAATGTCTCTACCACCTATTTAATATACATATCCAGATGAAATTTAACATGTAAATGGATTAGAAACTTAGGACTGCTGGAGATCGAACCCACGACCCGTTGTTCACTAGCCATACATAGCTGCATTACACCAACGAGTCCTACTATAATTTTTCCAGTAATCATAAATCTACCTACCTAAAGTGACCAATTTATGTTCAGAATCCCAGGTTTGTCCAAAATGTGTTTAAAAGCTCCATATATGTTTCCAAAGAGAACAGGAAAAGGCAGTTTTCCTTCTGGGAACCAAGCAGAAAATATTTGACTTAGAATTTATACCGGTAATGGTTTATTACAGCTACTGAAAAAGTAACTTTGAAGATACGTCATCAAAACGAAGAATTTGATTACGCCCATGTACCGATCCAATCGCATAATACTTTTTAAAATCAGTAATGACTTCACGTATTGTTAAAAAAATACACACATATAATGCAAAAAATGATTTTGCAATCATTTTTCTATAAGTAATTATTAATCAACCGAGTTGTTATTTTCACAAGAAGCTAATCAAAGGATTATCATTGACTTTTCTTTATCAAATTAGAAGCTTATCAATTTTAATTAATAATAATCAGGAATAATCATTAAATTACGTTCGTTTGGGTGTAGTGGCGATGAAAACTATGTTTCAATAATAGATGAAAATAAAAAATATTCTGAAATCTGACTAATAATTTAAAAATCGAAAATAAAAAGAAATTTTTTTCGAGTCGGCCAGGACTTGAACCTTCATAATTCCGTGCTGTTGCTACCAATTAAGCTACTGAGTCGCCAATTGAGCTACCAACTCAAGCTTAAGAAATCATTTACGATGAAATCACAAAGTTATAACGTTTGAAAAGCACGCGTTAACGTTGGTAGAGCAACAGCACGGAACGCTGACGATGCTAGTTCAAGTCCTGCCCGAGTCGAAAATCGACTATAGACAGTATTTAACATAGGCATAACTTTTTATTGCGAAAAGAGGGTTGTAAGGGGTAAAAAGGGGGGGTGAAAGTTTGTATGGAAACTCGTGGTTTCTGAAGATAGAACAGTGAAACTTTCTTTTTTGGCTTTTTGAGAATAGGAGTGGGACTGGGAGTTAGAGTAGGAGTGATGTGAGACGAGAGTGTTGCGGCAAAGTAGCATTAAATAAATTACAAAATAAGCAGCTACATAAATTAAGAAACAGCCTAAATAATTAAAAATTCTACCCCAAGTCACTATTCCACGCAAACGAAGTCGCGGGCACAGATAGTAATTTATAATAAATACTCATTTCGTAAACTTTAATATTTTTCACATAATGCAACTACCTATATTAATTAAAAATCAACAATCAAGATTTTTAATTTCTCTCTTCGTATAATTACATTGAAATGTTAAAATATTATCCCCTAGATAAAGTTGTTTAAAAAACATTAATCTATCAAAACATCTGATGTATATCAAGTAAGTTATCAATTAACAGAAGATAAAGTTAAGTACAGGCCGGCTGAAGAAGGTTGACGTCAGCTCGCTTTTCGTCTAATGAAACGCGTCCCACGTATTGAAAAATTAATCTGTACGCCTGTTTGTCACGCGCGTCATCTTCCAAATTGACTGCCCTGAACCTGTTCTAGGCAGGCTGCAGTAGCCTTTGTTTTATTGAAAATTGCCTTCAAAATAATAGCAATTTTAATTTACCTCTAGTAAAATAAAATAAATTGAGTTAAATTGAGTTTATCTACCCTTTTGTTCAATTTTAAATACATGCTTACATTATAAACTATTTATATCTACATATACGAGGTCGCCCTAGAAAGCTTCGTATGTCCAAAGTCATATAGGTCGACAGCGCAAATGAATAAGATTTAGGTGGTATTCCACATTCTATCAAGTGTTGTGCATTCTCGTCTAATGTAATCTGTTATTAGTAAACCAGTTATTTATAATATTAGCTGTTATACCATTTTTATAGTAAAAATAATGAAACTCAACAGTTTCACATAATTTTTGTACGATATTAACGTAAACAATTTTGTCTAACCATACCGGAAGTGTGTCAGTGTGGTCCATACTCAACATATTAAAAGAGGATTTCTGTGGGAATTTGGTAATACGAACGGGCTATGCTTGAGACATAGACAATAGACATCTTTGGACTTTTTTGTCTATGTTGTACAATATTGTATTAAATTATGTTTGTATGTCAGGTTCAAGTAACACGGAATAAACAAAGAAATTTACTATATCATAGTATCTTAGTATTTAATACATATAAACCTCCTCTAGAATCGCTTAAGAATCTGTTGCGTAGTTTTTTGATATACACACTAACAGACGGCGACACTTACTTTAAGTAATAGTTATACTGATAATTATAGGATTTCCTCGCATATATTTTTCTGAAAGAAACTTAAATTCGGAATTAAAAGTCCCTCTACTTTGCTCCAATCTCTCTAATCCAATAATGATAATAAATCTGCCCCTCTGAGATAATGATAATATTAAAATTGGGTATTATATTGTACTATCTCATAAGATATACATAGGAGGAATAAAAATTTAGATAAGATATAAACTTGAATATAAAGAAAGGGATGGGATTGCATTGTACACTTGCCCTACCACTCCTCCATTATGAGAGTCTTCGTAATTTTGGTCGCATGCGCAACCTGTGAGTCGAAATCGCATCATGATCTTTCTAGTCATCTATATAAATAACTTTATTTTATATGTAATCTTTTTCAGTAACTGCTGGTAGTGCAATTCCGTCAATACCAGGGGATAATAGCCATTATGTGGAAGGTGAAAGCCGCTACATTTGGATGCCCGACGGTGAAGGTGTTCCGCATCTCGTCGATCTACACCAGCCAGCTGATGAAGCCTTCTTGAATTCAAGAAACGGAAACAATAACCAATATTGGCTATTCACCAGGTGCAGTATAAGCTAAATTCTTAATTTATTAAAATCGATTATAAATTTAAAACAAAAAACACAGAAAACATTGTGGATGCAGATTCAAGTCTCCAATATGTTATATTTATAATCGATGTTTAATTTATAAAGTGCTATCGTGTGCAATAAGACGTGAGAAATATTGAACTTTTTGAATTCTTAATGACTTCCATTATAAATTAAAAAATGAAAAAGTTTAAAATCGAAAATTAATTGAAAAATATTTCGACTCGGACAGGATAGCTGGCTTCGTCAGCGTTCCGTTCTATAGCTCTAACCAATTGAGTTTTCGTTGTAGATTTTTTTTCTATTTATTTTCAATTTTTAAATAAACTTACTGCCATCGTGTGCAATTACATATGAAAAACATTAAAGTTTTCTAATGCAAAACTTATAGAACAGAATAGAGTAGAGTAGAAATAAGTTTATTAATTAATACTGGTTAAATTTTAGACAAAATCGCAACAACAGACAAAACCTCCAAAACGGGAATGCAAATTCCGTTCGAAACTCTAACTACAGAGGTAATCGCCCGACGAAGTTTATCGTTCATGGATGGAGGAATAACGGTAACAGCCCCATGAATCCTCTGATAAAGGACGCTTTTCTTGCCGTTATGGATTGTAACGTTATTGTCGTGGACTGGTCTGGTCTCGCTGGAAGAGACTACAATACAGCTGTAAGAGGCGTTCCCGATGTCGGCAACCATATGGGAAGATTCATCCAATTCCTGTTTAACACAGCTGGTGGAAATTGGGACCAACTTCATTTGGTTGGATTTAGTTTAGGAGCTCACATTATTGGTAACGCAGGGCGCGCTGTTGGTGGTCGGGCTCGTAGAGTTACAGGTATTTTCCTTTCACTGTTTTTAAATTATATACTGGTAAAAATGTTTCATTTATATAAGATATCTAATTTCTGATTTGGATGCTCCTTCTAAAATTATTAATTTATAATTATTCATTTGAATTTAACAACTGTAAAAGTTACGAAATGAAATCAAATCATTTATTACACTCAGCTTTTGACCTGGAAGTAGGCACAATGCCGATTTTCATTAATTCCCTTACGCTTGACTTTTGAATTAGAAATATAACACATTTTTTTACATTAAAACAATTACTAAAAACATAAAAAGAAACATGAATTTGAAAATTCCCCCACTAACATAATGGAATCGTTATTGTATATTTGTAATATTCCTCTTCAGGTTTAGACCCGGCTGGTCCAAATTGGGGCGGAAACAATCTAGCACTGAACCGATACTCCGGAAGATTCGTGGAAGCCATTCACACCGATGGTAGACTTCTTGGTATCATGGATCCGATTGCTCACGCTGACTTTTACCCCAACGGCGGCAGAAATCCACAGCCAGGATGCGGCATTAGTACCTGCTCACACTCGCGTGCGACGGAGTTTTTCGCCGCTACGGTCCATCACGGCCATCTTCCTGGAAGACAGTGCCCCAACGTCTGGGAAGCAGAACTTTCGAACTGTCATGGCGCTGTCTTGCACATGGGCAATGCATACCTTGGAAAACGAGGGTTTGTTAATTTTACTCAAAATATTACGAGTATTAATGTCCATATTCTTTTAATACTAATTACTAAATTGGTTTCAGGTACGGACTCTATGGTTTGAGGACTGGAGCTAACTGGCCCTTCTAAAGTGTAAATAAAATGAATTAAAGCAAAAACTGAACTTTTATTATAGTTATAGCTAACTGCGACATTTGCATATTTAGATTGTTTAAATGTAAGATTAATAAAAAAAATGTATTATAATTTCTAACTAGTATTTATTATACAGATTTGCCGACGAAATTTAAAATTTTTCCGTTAAACTGGTTCAGATCGTTAATAATAGAAATGCCTTTTCTGTCTCATCTAGGGTTAGGAACCGCATAATTAAGTCATGTGATAACGTTGCTAAAAAATACTAATAGTAGAAACCACGTATGTTCAGTTTTTGTATATAAATGGTATATTTTAAGTAGTAAGTCCCTTTTTAATAGTCTATTTGTTCTTTTTTTATATTGAGTTGTAATCTAGACCATTTTTTATATTTTTTTATTTGTTTCGCATACCTTGAACATCTTATTATTCTCTAAAAATCTTCGCATTCAATTTTAGTTGCCTCGAAGAGATCGTTTGTAAGCGCGAAGGCCGCCAATTCTACAATAATTCGAGTATAAAAATCAACTTGCATAATTTCCTTTCTTTATTCAACAAATCTTAATGAATAAAGATAATAATGTATTATTTAATATATTCGTAAGCGTATCTTTATCGCACCGGCTAATCGTTTAATTATAATCATCCTATAAAATTACATGATTAAAAATATCAAAATCTATATATATATATATATATATATATATATATATATATATATATATATGATAAAATATAAAATCTTTGAGAAATAATCAAATACTTATGTATTAATCAAACGCAGGAAGGTGCAGAGTACTTTTGGCCAAATTTAAATTATTTACCAGTGATTGATAGTTCTTATCGAAATCATGATATGAGTTCTAATTAGAAATGCGTAACAAGGATATACTAAATTGATAACGGATTAAAACGCGAAATGTATTAGTATATCTTTTAAAATGCGACCTGAAGAGTCTAATGCTTAGGCACTTTGGGTCGTGGTCATTGGGCAACTTATCAAAACCAAATCTTCTGCACCATCTGGTGCGTTGTATTTACGAGTACCGTCGGACTGTTTAAAAGGAAAAACTTACTAATACTTGTTTGAAACTTTAAATGTTTAAAAACTTTATTAATTTTTACATGTTATTGCACATGTGCCTTTATAATTCAATCGAAAATAAATTGAAAATAATTTCGACTCGGGCAGGACTTGAACCGGCATCGTCAGCGTTCCGTGCTGTTGCTCTCAGAGAATTTTTTTCAATTTATTTTCGATTTTTAAATTAACTTTAAATGTGTTTTTGTTTAGTATTAAAAATAATAATAACTTACTTATTAATTATTTTGTATTTTCCAATTACATTATAGATAACATTTCAACCAAATTAATTTCTTCAATACAAATTACATCCTATGACTATCTTCATTATATTGATTATGTTTTGTACATCTGAAATTTTAAATATTTGTATGATACTAACACTTCATCAAACATATGCCACATTAAATATTAAATTTAAATTCGACATTTAATTATTACGTAGAACTCGTTTTTTTTATTATATTGTAATCAACGGGACTTTTGCGTTGGTTCACAATAGGTTCCGAATGTGCCTAAATTTTTTTTTATAATTTCACTGAAAAATTAAAGACTTCGTCTGGAAAATCTGATTATAACGAAGTGGTAGGAACGGTCACGAGCCACGGGCCACAGATGAAAGAGCCCGAAGTTGTCAAAATCTAGAATTGGTCGATAGTGAGTCTTTCTTAAATTTATACAAATATGTAAAGCTGAAGAGTTGATTTGTTTGAACGCGCTAATCTCAGGAACAACGAGTTTGAATTCAAAACATTATTTTTGTGTTGGTTAGAGCATCTAACGAGGAAATTCTTCATTATTATGAGTTATTGAGGCGTACGCTACAAAAACCCATTGTTTGATGCCCAAAAAATATGTAGGAAAGAATGATTCCTCTTTAAACGATCTTAAAAAAAAGTCTGCGACGCTATATGTCTAGATTTTAAGATTAACTTGGAAGAACGACGGGAAAGGACGCGGATAACGTCGTGGGTAACAGTTTAAGTTTATTAAGATAAAAGGGTTTGGAAAAACCAATTTGCTGGCTGGTCGCTGGCACAGCTAGTATAACATAAATCTGATGTTTAACCTTCCATCATTTGAGATATATACTTGTCTGTCCTCTATCCAAAAAACTCATTACGTACATACAAAATCTACTTATCGCATATGTTACTTAATTTATCTTTAATCAATCATTCATAAATTAAATAGAAATTTAAATATATTTCTTAAAATATTTAACTGTTTATGTATAATATATAAATGGTTATTTTATGGTGGTGGTATTAGATGCACTAGAAACATACTTGTACGAAGCTTTAAAAATATATTTTTTTACTATACTTAATTTCTAATACTGTTTAATAATATTTAAAATTTTAAATATCTTGATTTTCACGTATTTTTACATCATTACTAATTCCTTCCTGCTATTATTATATTTATTTATGTATAGCGCTTAAGGTTTTCACGGCCATTTTGATTAAAAGCTTTTAGATCGTAGTCAGTGAAAAAGGGCTCTCGACGTTTTAATGTTACGTGTAAATGACGTCATCAGGAGATGTTTGTCAATCCTTGCATATTTAAATAAAACACGTGGTCACTGCTGCAAAGCATTCAAAACGTCGCGCCGTAGTTAAAATAATTTTCAAACAAGTTTAACTAATATATAACACGTTTTAAACCGTTAAAGTGTTTTATTGAACACATGATGTGCTAAAAACATTGTTCTTATAGCTTATAACACATTTTTTGTTTATCTCCTATTATTAATATAGTTCCTTAGTAGAATTAGAAGTGTTTTATGGATAGCGTTCCGAAAATTTACCAAAGTTAGGCCGCGCTTAATTCGATATAATGCAGTTTGGTTTATGCAAATAAAATTGGCAAGTGCTTGACACAAAGTATTTTTTACAAGAAATATTTTAATTAAAACTATTGCGCAAAGTTATTGAATGGCATAAAGTTAAACGCAAATAAGGACTATACTTAACTATATACACATTTCTTAGAACCCCTTTTATTAAATAGCTTATTTCTACACTTTAAAATACCTATTTCACAGTTGACTTAGTGGATTTTGTTAGTTGCCTCTGTCTTGTGAGTTGTAACTACGCTTCATTTCATACCTACTGGTTATTTGAGTGTCACAAACAAAACAGAAGTCAATTAAGTTAAACTTTTAACTTCAGGAAAAGGACATTTTAAATGTCGGTCAGTAAACAATTACAACTTCCGCCACACATTCAGACATTTGATACATTTCCTATTAGTTTTTATTAAATGTTTATATATTTAAAATTTCATTATACATATAACAATTTAATAATTTAAATAAAGCTAATAAAACCGAATAAAATTCATAACAAACATATTATAGATTTTACCATCACCCTAACAATCATAATTATAATCTAGCATAACTAAAGAAAGGTGTAAGTAACACCGGATGTAAGACAGATTACTGCCTCCTAATTATTATAATCTAATAAGATATAGATCACGCGGATAAAACATGAAGCTGATAAGATATGAGTTCGAATATAAAGAAAAACATGGAATGCATTGAACACGAGAGTTGAACCCAGGAGGTCTAGTCTTACCTTTTTCCCCCACTTTTCGGCCACCGTTACTTGCGCTACTACGGTAGCGCAAAAACATCAAAGAAGTTACTGTTTACTGATGAAATCCCCTCTTGTGCTTTGCATATTATCAACAATATCGCAATGGACATTGTTCTGTAATGTTAGAATATGTTTTTTATGAAAATATGTAAATAAATAGATAAACACTTCAATCAATCATGTTGAGGTTTTTAATACTCCTGGTTGCATATCTAAGCAGTAAGTTGAAATGGAATAAGCCGATAATTGTTTTATTCTCATTATTAAATATTTGCCACGGATGAAAGAATAACGGTAACAGCGACATGAACTCCATAGAGACGCTGCCTTGGGGTGTCTGATTGTAACGTCATTGTCGTGGACTGGTCTACTCTCGCTGGAAGGGATTACAATACTGCTCAGAGAGGCGTCCCAGATGTCGGAAATCATTTAGGAAGATTCATACAATTTTTGTTTAACCCTGGCCGGTGGGAACTGGGACAAATCAAAAAAAAACTCCTTAACTTCATAAATCATAGCTATTACCCACTTTTTCCATGTCCCGTCGTTCTTGCGGGTTAATCTTTAAAGATTAAGCCGTAACTGTAACGGACATTTTTAAAATCAAAATATTTAATTTATTCTGGTTTTTGTAATCTGTAACATTCATATCACTGCCAGGCATTCCTGCCATTAAAGAAATAGTTTAATAATACGCCTTTTGAGACAGTCAAAATGTTGTCTTTTTAAAACTTATTTGTTGATAAAACGACCTCTCTAACTAAGGCTGTTTTTGATATACAGCGCGGTGTCGAACCATTGCAACAATACTGAAAGCATTACTCAAAATTTACGGTTATCAGATAGTCAATAAAATGTTCTTTCAACTTCCATTCATCGGTCAACCCTTTTATTTAGTTAAGACATTCCTTTATGTATGTATTTGATTTATTGTTTTTATCAAATGCGATAAGGTCAAAAAGCTGATTATAAGGTTTTTGTTTTCTATGAATTTATCAAAATTACGACCAAACAATAATGGACTATTATTATTACTATAACGTAACGTAATTCACGTTACGTTATTATAATATAATATTACGTAATTCTGTGTTTAAATCATCTTAAAATGTCAACTTAACCAGTGAGTAAATGGTTAAGTTGACATTTTAAGGGAACTTCATAAAATGAACGAGTGACTTTAGTAAAACCACGATTAGGAGAAAAAAAAGTTAATATTCTTATAAAGTAAATACTCAAATACTACGTAATATTTTATTTTATAGTTTTGTATATTTCAATGTATCATTATTTTTTGTATTAAT